AGGTTCAAGAAGGAAAAGATGGGACACTCAAGGAAGTACGGGCCCCAGAGAACTCAACAATGTCTGTCTTCTTCATATTCCTCCCATTCATAGAAGTAATGGCCTTGATGCCTCGGACAACCCGGTGCATCAAACAAAGCAGCTGGTTCGTACCCAGTGGTAGAGGCTACAGGAGTTCCCTCCATTAAGGATCTGACCGGGCACGAAGGCTACTAGTCCACGCAACTCAAACTACACATGCACAGATGACTCACCCTTAGAGAACGTCACCTTGGAAGAAGCCTTGGAGCTCATCCAAGCCCAGCCCCGGCTTTTACGGGTAAGGAGAACTGAGGGCCCACCGTAAGGAGAGGACTTCTAATGGACCGAACGGCAGAGGAGGGCTAGAACAATTCTGTATTGCGACTTGGTTTTTGAGAGGCTGACTTTGGGCTCACGATGTATCACACCAGAGGGGTCTTTGGAAGAAGGGCTGTCACCTGGGGCCCCAGAAACATGGCTGTAATATGGGGCAGGATGGTCTGATAAACCCTTGGGGTTGAGCAAAGCCCAAGACTGGGTCTCTAACCCAGCCAAGGCTCCCTACGGGCGTGTGCCCGGTTTCTGCTGACCGCTGGCCAGGCTCCTCCAGGAAGGACAAACGCTCGAGGTATCACTCAGGATCAATACCGGAGTCTTTTCTGGTGAAAAAACATGCAAACCTTTGCTCCTAGTGCCTTTACTTACAGCCCCAGGTAAAGCCCCCAAGACAGAAAGGGAGACTGCCTACAAAATAAAAGGCCTGTTTCCAACTTGCAGCTCAAGGCAGCAGCTGACAAATCACTCAGGGAGAGGTGACCCGTCTGGGCTAGCCAAGGGTAAGGGAAAGCAGGCTTGATGAAGGATGACAGCAAAGGAAATCGAGGCCTCAGTGGGGTAAGGATACAAATGTGTTTACTGTTGCGTAGTATCTCATTTAATCTCCAACAATGCTGTGAGTGAGGCATTGTTACCACACTCCTGATGAGGAGATTCAAGTTTTTGAAAGACTGCTCCACTCTTTTTGAGTGTGTCTGCACTTGAGATGTCCTGCAAAGATCTTAGCAGATGGAGGTTTGGGTTCTTGTCTGGGCAGAGTAGTGCTCAGCGTTTAGTAATCAGTAATGCTAATCGCGTAGACAGCCTCTAGCCCTTCTTGCCACCATTCCACACCCAGCTGTGCATCTGATGAGATAATATTTTATTTACTTCTGCACGTCTGCTCCCAACCTGTTTATATGCAGTGACTAGAACTTAATTCTTACCATAAAGCATTATGAGCAACAGATACTGAATAAATACGTTTCGGTGGCATCTAAAAATGTCAAACTTACTGCTGTTTTCATACCTCAATCTCTCCCTCAGTGTGCCTGCACAAGAATGAAATGAACTCTTAGATGCAAGAGAGACTATGAGCCTCCTCCTGTGTTGAATTTTCATGGAGTGCTCCCTTTTTCTTAAATTGGGGAGGGTGAAGAAACAGAGAAAGGTATTCCCTGAAAGGTCTGATAGGCCCAAGATACCTCTGCTTCCTCACCTATTTCTTTTAGGACAATGTCTAGAACACTTATAAATAGACTGGAAATAATATTCTGCATTAGGGGTGCCTGGGTGGCTCAGTCGGTTAAGCACCCCACTCTCGATTTCGTCTCAGGTCGTGATTTCAGGGCCGTGAGATCGAGCCTCATGTCGGGATCCGGGCTCAGCCAGGAGTCTGCTTGAAGATTCTCTCTCCCTCTGTGCCTATGCCCCCCACCGCCCACTCTCTAAAAAAAAAATTATTGTGCATACATAAGCATTGAAGACAGATTTCTCTCGTTTTTATCACATTACAAAATAGCCAAAGCAGACACCATACCACCAACAGCATTTGTCAACTACTGCTTCTAACGTCATCCCCGTGTCTACTTCCCTCTCTCATCCAAATCTCCCCGAGGGCGTCTTACTCACCCTCACGCACCTGGCCCCCAGGAAGCTCCAGAGTCTGTTGCCAGGTGCCTAGCAGGGGCAGGTGGCCCGCTGGTTGCTATCACAAGCATTACTTCACCTCGCCATCACAAGAACTCTTTGGGGTGTTCCTCTCTCTTTAGAGCAAAGGAACAGGCAGGTGAGTGACTAGTGAAAGATCACAAAATAAGGCAACAGTAGACCCAGAATTCCAACCCGGGTCTCCTGACTTGAGATCTAGGTCTTCTCCCAACACACCTGCAGTAGCCTCTAGTTGTGGGGTTGTCTGGTTATACCCCCAGTGGAGGCCTTGAGCCTTTACTCATCTCAGCTGGGCCTGTTTACCAAGGGGCAAAGGCCCCTCCTAGGGCCAGCCGGGCCTCTGGGTCACCTGAGAATGATGAATTCACGAATACTTTCAGAAAACTACCGGATGTTATGCAAATGCAAGCTAGTCATGGTAACATCTGATGGGCTATGGCTTTTTTTCTATGAAAAAATAGCCTTACAAAGTGCACAGGAGACAAAATATTCCCTTTACACTGTTAATGTAAGTTCAAAGTACCCCTAAACTTCCATTATCCATGAATCAAAAAGTAAAGAGTAATGGGCTGAGCCTGCTGGCAGGTCACCATGTGCTGGTAAGAAGCAGCTAAGAATAGGGACGCCTGGGTTGCGCAGTTGGTTACGCATCTGCCTTCAGCTCAGGTCATGATCCTGAGGTCCTGGGATGGAGCCCTACATCGGGCTCCCTGCTCGGCGGGGAGCCTGCTTGTCTCCCCCTTTCTCTGCCCCTCTCTCTGCCCTGGCTCTCTCTCAAATAAATAAAATCTTAAAAAAAAAAAAAAAAAACAGCTAAGAATGAATGAAGCTTTCTGCTCCTGAAAAACATGTTTGTGAGTCCAGCTGGGCTTGTGAGTTCCTCTCAAGCAGCTGTTCCCAATCCAAGGATCAGAATCACCTGGGTAACTGTTTTTCCAAATACTCCAATAGTAGGACACTCCCTGAGGAGAGAGGGAGGAGGAAGGGATTTCTGCAACTAGCTTGCGGGCAAATCTGGCCATACCCCCCCCTTCTGGCCTGGTGGAGAACTGCAGTTACTACAGGAAGTTGCCACCGCCCCGCCCCCAAGCAGGGGCGTGTTGCTCCACCTCTCTCTCCTTTGAGCCTCAGATCAAATCCTAACTACTTTTTGTCTGTGGCTGGGAGCCAATCTTATGCTGGGACAGAAAATCGAGAAGCTGAACTATCTGGCTCCTTTTAAACACATTAAGTCATTAAGACTATACTTTCAGGGATCATTTCTATAGTTCGTTAAATACATTAAGTCATTAAATTCCCCCCACCGGTATCTGGGCCTCGCAGGGGCCCAGGGCAACCCCGGGTGCGCAAGCAGGTCTGGTTGGTGCTTATAAGGACAACGAATCAAGGCAAGTTAAAGCGTTAGCGCCAGGCTCACAGAACCAGAGAGGGCTGGAGCTAGGACTTTTTAGATCGCCTGGATAAACCACCCCCCTTTAAAACATGACAGACCTAAGGTCCAAAGATGTTAAAGCAGTATTCCTCAGCCTAAGCCACACATCACACTTACCTATGACACTTCACAGATGCCTGGGCCCAGGCCCACAAGAGTCCGAATCAGTAGATCTGGGGTGGAGTTTTAGGTCTTTATGGGTGCTTCTGGGGTGCTCAATGACTTGCTAGGGTTGCTACAGGGGGCAGAGCCCGTAGAGGTCTAGAGCCTTCTTTCCAACTATATACCACTAGGTGTCTCAAGGAAATGAGTTTAAAACTGAACTGTACTGGGACACCTGGGTGGCTCAGTTGGTTGGGTGTCGATTTCAGTTCAGGTCATGATCTCAGGGTCGTGGGATCCAGCCCCCGGTCGGACTCTGTGCTCAGTGTGGAGTCTGCTTGTCCCTTCCCCTCTGCTCTGCCATCCCCCACCCCCTCCCAAATAAATAAATAAAATCTCTAAAACCGAAATGTATTATTACTTAGTATTTAAAACATTCTGAGAAGTCCCCTAACTACAAAATCTTTCCTAACAAACTTGCCACTGCAGAGAATTCAGCCCATGTCCTTTGTGGTTGCCGGGGCTCTTCTGCCTGCACAGATTGGGAGAGGCCCCGGGGCTGGAGCAGCCATCGCTCCACTAGGGCTTGAAAGACAGTTTCCCCACTGGGAAACTGGGTGGGATCGCAGGCCACGGTCCCTGAGCTGAGGACGGTGCTCCAGTCCCGTTCCCTCAACAAGACTCAAGTGAACCTGTCCTTTCCTGGGCTGCTCCTCTGGCTTCTCACCTGAGATTGGCGGGATCAGTAAAATGACTGAATGAGGCTGAAGAGAATTCATCAGTCTCCAAAACACTGACTCGGCAGGCCCCAGAGGACCACGGGGCAGTTAGGTAAGGTCCTGTAAAGCAGGAATGAGCCAGGCAATTAATTATACTCTAGAGCATCCAACCTCAACTGGATGGATGGCTGTGCCTTCATCAAGTGAACTATCCTATTAATATGCTGATCAGGGCTACTTTTACTGTCATGTCAGAGCCCCATGTTTCCTGTAAACAAAATATACTGGATTGGACTAAATACCACTGCACTGAATATGGATTCACATTGTGCTACCACATGATTAGTTTTATAATCATTCTTCCAGAGTCTCTCCCAAGCAAATGGGTCACAAATAAGCACACTGTATTATTAACATCTACATTACAGCCTGCCTCTCATTACTGAGTCAACCTGGCAACTGGTATGCCTTGTATCATGTGTGGGTTGTTACTCAGCACACCCACATTTCTAGAAAGCCCTATTGTCTGTTACTCATATCTCATTTGAACATGTGAGCCAAGCAGACATGTTCTTCATGTATTCCCCACTGCATACCTTCAACCAGTGCAAAAATGGTGACCCTCCTTGCCCTCAGAAATGCCTGCCATGTTTGATGGGGGAAGATTAGACTGCTGAATAAAAACCAAGTTCAGACCCCTAGAAAAGGCAAAACCAAAACAAAATACACTGGACCTCATACATGTTTCATATACATATTTATATATATTTCATGTACAAAGTTACATTCTGAACCCCAGGGGTTCCATAATAGAAATAAATACTGAAATAACTACATTGCTAAATGAGCTTTTTGCTCATAGAAATGAAGCCTCAGCCTCTAAGAGACAACAAGTGGGACACTCTAGAACCCATTTTTCAGATTATAGAGGCCAGTAAAAGTCTGGATAAAATGTCTAGGACAAAAAACAAATTCAGAACATAAAATGGTTAAAATATATTCAAATATATTGAGAAATGTACGACAAAATTAATAATAAAAACTTAATTTTTTAAGAGAAAGAAAAAGACGTTTAGTGTGACAAAATAGCATAACCCTGTTAGAAAAGCATTTATGATTTCCACATTTAATTCTCTCTTCTCTACTCTTCCCATGTTATAAACTGGGGCCAAATGAGTCCCTTTCTCAACATGATCAATTAAGAAGAGCCCTAAATCTGCTTGAGTCCTTTGGTAACGATCATAATACTCACAAGGAAATAAATATTCAGTTCCACAGCATTTGCAAGAAAGACGCACATTCTTTAGGACAGTTAATATTATGAGACAACTGTTTTGCTTTGTTTTGTTACTAAGGCAGCCTATGTTAAAGGGTCTATTCTCAAATGCAGTTAGACCTTTACAAGAAATGAACAATATAGCAACTGAGAGAATGTATTTTAATCTTTTCTATGCAAACACACTTAATTTGAAAAGTTCTGTGCCGCATACTTTGTGCTCAAAATATTTTTACACTCTCAACAAGCTGCATCTATTAAGATATTCGTTCCTATTTAAAAAATTCAGATCCACACAGGTTGGAGAAAAACACTCTCAAAACGGTGTTCTTCAAGAATATTCTCCCTTTGCTTCACGGGGATTTCAACCTGCATTTCATAGTAAGTGTGAGGTTGGTGTACAGGATACTGACATTTTTGTAGATTGGCAATGGTCGAGCACCGGCAGTTTCACATGGTTCAACCTCATACATAACCCAAGCATAACAAAACAAGAACATTCTCGGGTATCCCTTATTTCTTCCAACCAGGGGCAATCGATCATTTTTTTACATGGAGAGACCAGCCCAAGGTGTTCGAGACTCTTCTCTACCCTTGAGTTGCTAGCTACAGGCAGTTTACACCAACCACTTTGCTGCTTGCAAGAAACTTACATTTTGGTTACCGAAGTGAACGTTACCACCTCGACCAAAGTGAACATTACAAGAATATAAGCCTATTATTGGGGAAAGGGGGGAAGTAAAGCAATCTGTGGAAAATATTTAAATGAAATTACAAATAATAAGGACAAGCCCTTAAAACAACTCGTACAGGCATTTCTGTACTCTCTCTAGTCCCTGAAGTTAATTAACAGGGCTACAGATAATCTGACAGCTTTAGATAAAATAGCTACACCCCGATATTCCTTACGTTAAAGCCAGTAAGTTTAAAAAGAGCAATCAGAACCACTGTAACATGTTTGTATTTTTCACCTTTAACTCCTGATTTCCCAAATTACATTTGGTCATACAAACACGTAAAAGACTGAACAGCAAATGGAGTCTGACTCTGGGATGCTTACTTCTTGGGACTAATATTCCCAAACACTTTGGTGTCTCCTTTTTGTGAATTTATACAACATTCCCCAAAAATGTTTAACAATGTGGGTGGTTTTTTTTTTTAGGTATTGCCAAAAATGGCTCAGATTTAAATTAAAAACATAGCTTCCAAGCTATGGATAAGTGGCTTAAGTTTTGATGCCTTGAAGAAAAGTGACTGAATACCTCAAGCAAAAAAATTATCCTTTTAGTACAGCTTCTACCAAAGGAGTTTTTCCTTCTGGCCATCTAGAGTGACCACAACTTTACTGTGTACACGATGTGCTTATAGACACATGTGGCCAACGGATCCTCCAGCTCATTAAATCCCACGTATTTATAATCTAGCTTAATCCTGTAGATGCTTGAAGGACAATGGCATACTTTTTACAACTATGTCTGCATGACATTCAGAAAGAACAAATCCCTGGCACTTAAGAACACTTAATACAGTCTGAGGCCTGTGCTTGCTTACTTTTCCTTCAGGGAGTCCTTCTGATAACGGGGAGGCCTTTATTCAACAGGCTTAGATTTTGAAAATAACACTTAAAATTTGTATTTACTATTGCTTAAGGAAACGGTAAATCACACATTTTCAAGAAGCTGGAGAGGGGAAAACTGCAGCATAACGGTTTCTGAAAACTTATGAAACAAGAAAATCAGTTACACCCAGACTTGGTTTTTTAAATGGGGGGTACATGCAAGAAGATGAACATGTCAGCTTTTACTTTATGGTATCTCGGCTTTGTCTTCTTCCCCTTCACAGTTTTCCTCTTGGAAGATGGCATTTTAATCTCAAAAGAGCACAAAAGCTTAAAGGTGGCATTTACATACGAAATATCAAGTGCTAGCTGTTCTGTAGTTTTACACAGAACAAGAGAAAATACGGTTTCTCACCAAATCCCTTATTCAGTTCATAGGCCACTCTATCTCCACTGCAGCTTTGCTCTTATTCACTGGTAAGAGCAGTCCAAGAACAATTGGTAAATAGGTGAATTTTTTACGTGGAAAAAAAACCTCAACCAATCACCACCATTCACTGATACAGGAACCCAGAACACAATTTCCTTAAAAAAAAAAAATCCTCCCATTATTCCCATTATTGAAGCGATCTTCTGAGCCTTATAAATAATAAACGTTTCAGACACGTCAGTTTGAAAATGAGTGAGACTAGTCTCAAAAAATAATCATCAGAATATTCGGAGAGCAGGCCTCATAAACTTTAGAGCTCTAATAAGTCAGAAACAGGAAACTTTTATTTAAATAGTGTAGTCTTAATTTCTTTAATATAAAACCCCCCAAATCTGATGAAAACAAGGTTTTATATACCATATAAACAAGATTTGTCAGATTTGAAAGTGAAAGTTAAAGTAATTTACAGTTAGCTTTTAGCCCCCTGGGACATTTAGAGAAATCCTGATAATCCACCTAATCCTAGCTTGTGTCAATTTTATAATACATTGGGGAAAACTTCATTATTGTACTTAATGGTACAATTTCACTTATCAAGTGTTCCCATTAATTCCATTATTAGCGACAGCTAAAAAGTGACCATATCAAACAAAGTGAGTGACATGAACTGTGGCAGAGTGAACCACATCTGGATTGCTTTCTATAATTCACCGGTTTGCAGAGAGGAAACATTCTTTGATTTGTTCATAACATACTGAAATTGCCTAGAACACTGGTGCAGTAACACAGCTCGTTCCTGTCTTGTTATGGCAGGACAGGTTCTGTAATATAGAGTTAACAGGAAAAAAAATGCTCACACAGTATGTGGTGAAACTTCTTTCACAAAGAGAGCATTAAATCAAGGGGCAAAGAGAAACTAAACCATGCAGAAGAGACAGCTTCCCTGTCTCCACCTGTTTCCGATGTGCTCACTCACTGCCGTACATCACTTGCCACACGATCAGGTGACTCCTTTCTGCTTTGGCGACAGAAGGTTCAAGTGGAAGATCCTCTCCAAGAAGTTCTGATTCTCCACCTTCATCACCTGGGGGATGACAACAGGAACTCAAGTCAGGCTGAGCGTGGAATACGCAGGCTGACACACAGCAGATGTAACGCTCAGGGTTAGTCTGCAACAGTATGCACTGAGCTTGGCTGATGCCCATTTCAGAGAACACAGTACAAGAAATGCCATGAGTCAGAACCCTCACTTGCCCAACTTCTGAAAAGGTTAATTCATTTTTCAGACTATATTTATACAAGTGAGCTCACTGTATGTACTACATGAGAAACTCATCCCACTATGTCTGCATTCTGAGGTTAACAGAAACGAGAAGCTAAGAAGGCAGAACTGTCCGACCCCGTGTTCATCCAAACGGACAGAGTCTTTTCTCATTTATGTCAAACTGAGAAGTGAGACTACAAAGGCCTATAAATGTGGAAGCGTGGAGATAGAGCCCACGCACCCACAAACTAGCTAAACTCAACTCATGTTTGTTGTGACAGTAAAGCTCTCCAAACAGAGATAACCAATACAAGCACATGGAAACAGAAACTATCTCCCTGCAGCACTAGGAGATGGCAGATTTCTCACTCAATATACTGAGTTTTTTGTTTGTTTTTTTAAGATTTTATTTTATTTTTTTAAGATTTTATTTGACAGAGAGAGGGAGAGAGCACAAGTAGGGGAAACAGTAGAGGGAGAGGTAAGTTAACCTATGCTTTCTGTATTTACTGAATTTGTATTTTCTGAAGACTATAATTATATTTAGCTTCTTTAGAAACTGTTTTCTGAATCTGTGTGTTTTAGGGCACATTGGTGATGGATTGGATGACAGCTTTTTTTTTTTTTTTTTTAAGATTTTTAATTTTATTTATTTGAGAGAGAGAGAGAGATAGCAGGAGCTGGGGGGAGGAGCAGAGGGAGAGAAAGAAGCAGATTCCCCACTGAGCAGGAAGCTCCATGCAGGGTTTGATCCCAGGACCCTGGGATCATGACCCGAGCCGAAGGCAGACACTTAACCATCTGAGTCACCTAGGCGCCCCGAGGTTTTATTTTTAAGTAATCTCTACACCCAACGTGGTGCTCAAGCTCACCACCCTGAGATCAAAAGTCGCATGCTCCACTGACTAAGCCAGCCAGGACCCCATACGGAGTTATTTCTTCCCATGACTTTCAAGTTTAGGATAGATTATGAATTAATGGTGTATGGTGGAGATGAAGAAATGAGGCCGAAGCCACAGACAGGCTATGGGTTCTCCTAGAAACAGCTGAGTCAGCTGGATAAATGAGGTCCTGATCAAAGACACCGCTCTCCAAGGCCCAGTGCAAGCAAACCACACTCCTCTCTACAAGGTGCATCCCTGGTTTTGCTGTTGCAGAAACAGGGTGATTGTGACACAACTCTGACAACTGGTATCGTGGGACAGATTCTTCAGCAGAATCCTACACACACACACTCACACACACACCCCCACCCACACCCCCCAAGGGGCAAAGACACCCCGCTGATCTGCTAGTTTTGCCGTGTGTCTCACCTGAATTTCAGATGGGCAAAAGAAAACAGTGGTAGTATCAACTAGAAACAGTGACAGAGAAAACCTTAAAAGTTGGCACTTTTCAACAGACACATGAAAAAGTGCTCAACATCACTCGGCATCAGGGAAATCCAAATCAAAACCTCAATGAGATACCACCTCACACCAGTCAGAATGGCTAAAATTAGCAAGTCAGGAAATGACAGATGTTGGCGGGGATGCGGAGAAAGGGGAACCCTCCTCCACTGTTGGTGGGAATGCAAGCTGGTGCAGCCACTCTGGAAAACAGTATGGAGGTTCCTCAAAAAGTTGAAAATGGAGCTACCCTACAACCCAGCAATTGCACTCCTGGGTATTTACCCCAAAGATACAAATGTAGGGATCCAAAGGGGCACCTGCACTCCAATGTTTATAGCAGCAATGTCCACAATAGCCAAACTATGGAAAGAGCCAAGATGTCCATCGACAGATGAATGGATAAAGAAAATGTGGTACACACAAACACACACACACACACACAGGAATACTACTCAGCCATCAAAAAATGAAATCTTGCCATTTGCAACGATGTGGATGGAACTAGAGGGCATTATGCTAAGTGAAATAAGTCAATCAGAGAAAGACAATTATCATATGACCTCACTGATATGTGGAATTTAAGAAACAAGGCAGAGGATCATAGGGGAAGAGAGGAAAAATGAAACAAGACAAAACCATAAGAGACTCTTAGTCACAGGAAACAAACTGAGGGTTGCTGGAGGGGAGGGGGGTGGTGGGATGGGGTAACTGGGTGATGTATATTGGGGAGGGCATGTGTTGTAATGAGCACTGGGTATTATATAAGACTGATGAATCACCAACCTGTACCCCTGAAACAAATAATGCATTATATGTTAATTTAAAAAAGGAATATACCCTAAAAAATATATGATTTAGAGATTAATGTCTCTATGAAAAGAATATCTACTCCTAATTCTTCAACATTTATTGAGACTTGTTTTGTGACAAGAATTCTTTACCAAATGAATTCAGCAGTTTTGGATATTGTTTGTGTGTAGTTACTTAGCATTTAGTTTTTCCTTATCATATTTTCTTAATCTCTATATTCTTTGTTTTTTGTTAGGCATATTAAAATATGAATTTTATTACTTTAGTTTTTCCTTTATATATTTTAAGATTTAGTTATTTGTGAAATTTTATCTGTATATTTTCTTCTACCTTTGTCTAGTTTATTCATTTCCTTTTCATTGTCATTTGGATCTAATCAATTATTAAACCTATTGGTTATTTAAAAAAAAGGTTGGCACTTCTCTCTGTAGGCCAAACTCTCCTTTAACCCACCTCCTAGTGGCCCTTCCGCAGCAATGTCAAACTGTGCAGTGGTACATACTCTCAAAGACTCAAGACCAACTCCAAGAATGTAAAAAACTGGAGTTTGGTTTTTTAAATTTTAAAAAATTACAATGAGGGGCGCCTGGGTGGCTCAGTCAGTTAAGTGTCCGACTCTTTTTTTTTTTAAAGATTTTATTTATTTATTTGAGAGAGAGAGAATGAGAGAGAGCACATGAGAGCAGGGAGGGTCAGAAGGAGAAGCAGACTCCCCGCCGAGCAGGGAGCCTGATGCGGGACTCGATCCCGGGACTCCAGGATCATGACCTGAGCCGAAGGCAGTCGCCCAACCAACTGAGCCACCCAGGTGCCCTAAGTGTCCGACTCTTGATCTCAGCTCAGGTCATGATCTCAGGGTGGTGAGATCGAGCCCCACGTTGGGCTCTGTGCTGGGTGTGGAGCCTGCTTAAGATTCTCTCTTTCCGGGGCGCCTGGGTGGCTCAGTCGTTAAGCCTCTGCCTTCAGCTCAGGTCATGATCCCAGAGTCCTGGGATCGAGCCCCGCATCAGGCTCTCTGCTCAGCGGGGAGCCTGCTTCTCCCTCTCCTACTCTGCCTGCTTGTGTTCCCTCTCTCACTGTCTCTCTCTCTCAAATAAATAAATAAAATCTTTAAAAAAAAAAAGATTCTCTCTTTCCCTGTCCTTCTCCCTCTGCCCCTCCCCACCAAAATAAATAAATAAAAATAATTAAAAAAAATTACAACGATAATGACAAAATTAGTTGGCTGAGATCAAAGGTTGCTGGTATCTGAGTTGTTTTGTTTTGAAGGTTCTATTGTTTAGAATCACCATTTCCTAGGGCTCTACATCCTACTTAATTAAACCACTAAAACTAGTAGAAGACTGGGGTAAACAGGTGAAAGTCATGGGAAGAAATAACTCAGTATAGGGGGGATCCTGTCTGGCTTAGTCACTGGAGCATGCTACTTTTGAGCATGGGATGGTTGGGATCAATTTTTCATTGTTAAACTATTAGAGGAAATGGAAATGGAACAAAAAAAGATCAAATTTTATTTTATTTTTTTAAAGCATTATTTACTATTAAAATTAACTTATGTTTTAAGACAAGTCTGCTTTTCAGGCTGGATTAACTAGAGATACTGACAAACCTGGCTAAGCAACTCTTATGCTATTTTCAGGATCCACAATGGAAGCAATTTCTGGTGGGCATGGAAAAAGCACAGAGATTTTATTAACATACTCCTTAGGATGGTTCCAACCGCTATGCTGCACTCCAAGGAAAAGCTGCCCTAACCACTCCAGCTAAATGGGGCCCTTTTCTATCAAGGAATTCTGCACCAATAGTCGATTATTTAAAACATCTTAAAGTAACTTCATTCCTGCTGACATCAACAGAAACAATCAATTCCTAAACTTCACCTTAACATCTCCCTTAAAAATGTGTAAGTCTTTTCCGTCAAATAATCTGGTTTATACTAATTTTATGTGGCCCACTGTCCTTTACATGGCCCTACATTTTATACTACTTCCTTACAGAATTTATAACTAAAGTATATGTCACTAATCTACACCATTATATTCTCTAAAACCTTATGTTTACAAACTTTCTGAATCATTGTGATTTTAGGCACATTCAAAGGATCCCTTTATTTACAGCAAATAAGTTCACATCACAGTGCCTTACAGTTTACAAAACACTACACTTTCCAAAACATCAAACATCAGTTCTCTGTTTTCGTGGTCCCCCTCTGGCCATTCCTTCTCAGATCCCTTCATAAAAGCTCTAATGGTTCTTTTAATCGAACAATAATACAGGGTTCTATCTTAGAACCTCTTCTTTTAGCCCCTACACACTCTCCTTGGGTAAGCTCATCAACCCTTGTGGTTTTTAGTACCACTGCATGCTAACGGCCCCCAAATCCCCCCCTTCTGAGATATAAAATCTTTATAACGCAAAGCCCAATGGCCATCTTCCACCTAGACAACTCCCAGCTCCCATGCTCTTCAAGGTCAAGGTGATGCCCAATATCAAATTCCTCTCTCCCCCTCCAGATCTGCTTCTTCTGTTCTAATAATCTCTATCTCTGAGAAAATGGATCACCCCACCTTTCCCCACAACCTATTAGTTACTAACTCCCCATCATGCTGCTTTATCTATTCCTACTGTTAGTGCCCCACTCAGTTTTTCATTTTTTCCTATCTCATTTCCCTATGTCTAGTCTTATACCTCTAATCCATCTTCCACACAAACCTATTCATGTTGCTCTTCTAGTTAAAGTCCTCTGACAGTTTTCCTTAGCTTTAAAGATAGAAGTGCATTAACTACAGAGAACAAAATGATGGTTACCTGGGGGGAGGTGGGTGGGGGGAATGGGGAAATAGGTTATGGGGATTAAGAAGTGCACCTGTTGGGATGAGCACTGGGTGATGTGTGGAATTGCTGAATCACTATTATCGTATACCTGAAACTAACACACTGCATGTTAACCACACTGGAATCAGAGAAAGGGAAGGAAAGGAAGGAAATACATAAATACATACATACATACATAAAAATATAGAAGCAGAAACTCCTTAATTTGGTATATAAAGGTCTTCCATAATCCAGCCCCACCCCCCTTTCTAGATTTAACTCTGGTCAAATGTACACTTGCCTCTACTCCACACTCCAGCCATTTAAGAATAGTTTTTCTTCAGTTAAGGTGGTTTCAACATTTCTAAGCCTTTGGTCCAGCTATTATCTTACCTTGGAATGCCAATCCCCAGCAATCCTCATCCTGCTCATTCCCCAACCCAATTCTTTAGACTACCACTACTCAGAGCTCTGTCAGCTCAAGCACCATGTGTTGACTCTGTCCCTCCCCCCATCCCCACCCAGGGCACTTATCTATTAGCACATTTCTTTTTTTTTTTTTTAAAGATTTTATTTATTTATTTGACAGAGAGAGACACAGCGAGAGAGGGAACACAAGCAGGGGGAGTGGGAGAGGGAGAAGCAGGCTCCCCGCAGAGCAGGGAGCCCGATGCGGGACTCGATCCCAGGACCCTGGGATCATGACCTGAGCTGAAGGCAGTCGCTTAACCAACTGAGCCACCCAGGCGCCCCTATTAGCACATTTCTATCTCTGCACTCTTCCATAATTCCAAAGCCGGACGCAGGCTTTGTCTGATCTGTGTCTGCATCTCAAGCTTAAGGCTGACAGGCACCTAGCAATAATGTTTGTAAAGTGAGAAAAAGAACAAATAAAATCCATTTTGATACAAACACCACTTCATGAAGTATTTTTATTTCTCCCTTTTGCAGGTGAGGAAACTGGGCTTCTGGGAGGCCGAATGATTTGCCCAAGGCCCTCTGACTCCTTATCTTATGCTCTTCACATACACATCCATATTTGACCCAACCCCGTTTTTTTTTTTTTTTAAATGGTGGGTGATACATGTCAACAAGAGTCTTATTTTTTCATCAAATTTTATTTGCAGATAATGCAGGGTGTTTTTTTTCTTCTTCTTCTTTTTTTAAGTAATCTCCACACCCACCATGGGGTGGGTGGCTCGAACCCACAACCCCAAGATCAAGAGCTGCATGCTCTACTGAGCCAGCCAGGCACCCTAAACCCTGCTATTTTCGAATGCTCCTTCAAACAAATACACTGGGGTATAAAAAGAAACTTAAAAACAAAGAAGTAAGGAAAAGGGGAAATATAAAGTCCTTTCGCAAGTCAAGAATTCAAAGAAAACCTCTCAGAAATCACTTACCAGAGTAGTTTCTTGTTTACTATGAGTGAAAATCCACGTTACAGAGCACAGTGGCCAGGACCCATGACTTACCCATCCGGAAGTCAATGTAGCCCTCTCCTCCACTGATGACGAGCATAGACTTCAAGGGCATCTGGCTGCCAGGCTCCTGTGTCGATGGCCCTGCCTTGTCACCTGTTAGATCTGTGTCACTACTGCCACTTTGCGGGCTGACGACTTGACCTATTTGTGCAAGAACAGAAGTGGATGTTACTTATCACAGACGGGTGGGGAAGACTCATTTTCTCTGAATATTTTCAGAAAGTTGAACAAAAAGGTAAATATATTCTGATACAACCGAAGTACTGGGAATGGCAGAAGCCTCTACATGATCAGAAAATATCCACAAAGGTCCTAAGAACACAATTTGAAAATCTAAGTAGAGCCATTTTGTACCAAAGCAAATGCGTCCAAAACCCATTATGAGATCTGTGTGTGGCCAGGCTGGTCTTCGCTGCCTGCTTCAGACTATTATGATCTACATCTTTTGACCTGAGGGACAAAGGAAAGGGTACGCGTGCATCTCTGTAAGAAAGGTCTTCAATGTATGCCCTGTGAGTTTGGATATGCATAATTAATATTTAAATGTATTTTAAATCCATCGTATTCCTCTCATATTTAAGAAAATTACATCTTATTTATCATTTAGATTATGCAAATAAAATTACTAGTGAATGTGCCATTTATTCTAAATTTAAGTTCTAAGGTAGAATCCTTGAGCATGAAATGGGAGAGAAACCTTTAATATGCCATAGTTAAATGAACTAGATTTTTATGTATAAACATTAATAAATTAAAAAAATGAGAAGAGAGTTGAATATATATACAACATTTAAGTTCAAAGACACAAATTTGAAAAGACTACACATAGTTTATAGATTTGTTCAAATGTAAAAATATAAAAACATGGCAGGATACTTGTCAACTTCAGGACTGTAGTAGCACATGGAGAGGAAAAGGGGAAGGGAACGGGATTAGAAGAATACAACAGACTCAAAGGGGATTCTAGGACCCTTTTTTCACAAAAGCAAAAAGATACTACTATCAGCAATTCCATTTTTAGGAATTTATCCTAAGGAAATGACTATGTAAATATACAAGGTGTATGTTTCAGGAAGCTCATTACCATGTTGTTAAGAATACTGAGTAACTGATTAGGATACTATGTGCCAGCCACACTATGTACACTGAATCATCTGATCTTCGGAACACCCTCAGGAAAATGAAGACGATGGTTCAGTTTATGTGTCAACCTGACTAGGCTTTGGTGCACAGATATGTGGCCAAACTCCAGTCTAGGTATTTTTTAGATATAATCCACACTGAAATCAGTGGACGTGAGTCAAGCAGATTATTCTCCATAATGTGGGTGGGCCTCATCAATCAGCTGAAGGCCTTCCGAGAAAAAGATAGGTCCCCTGAGGAAGGACGAATTCTGCCTCTAGACTGCCTTTGGACCCCAGCTGCAACATCAACTCTTTCCTGGGTCTCCAGCCTGCCAGACTCCCTACAGATTTCAGACCTGAAGCCCCCAGAATCACATGAGCCAATTCCTTAAACTAAATCAATCTCTCGTTCTCTCTCATACCCTATCGGTTCTGCTTCTCTGAAGAACCCTAACGCACTGAGAGGCTATCACGTCCAACGTCACACAGCTGGTGTGGCGAAGTCAGAGTTGAACTTTGTAGAGCTCCAAAACTTGCATCTTATGGGGGGAAAGAATTCAAAATGTGGGACCTGCTTGCAGATGGTCAGTCACATCAGTTTAGTATTCTTAATGGACAGAACCTTTTTCTCTGGACAGCACCACTGCCACCTTTCATCTAGATAGATGGAGCTTTATAGTTCCAAAGCACTTTTGTTAACTTTCACAACAAACGAGGTCAGCAAAGCAGAGATTAGTCATGTCCACTTAGGAAATGAGGACGAGTCTCAGAGGTGAAGTGACTTGCTCAAGATAACTAGGCAAGGGCGAGGCGGGGACTCCCAGTCTGCCGCCCTTTGCCACAACACTGAGACAGGCCCGGGAGCACAGTCTCCTCTTCCTATATACGATCTTGACGACAGGGGCTTCTTTCTAGTATTTGGCCACGATTATTTCTGGTATTCTGCGGTGACAAAATAGTACCTACCACTGCTTTTCAAAAGCGAGCAGGCCTCTTAAATAAAAATCGGCAAGTTTGTTTTTGGGGAGAGAGAGAGATTCCAAAACAATTTCATTCAAATGTCCCTACAGTGCTTTATCCATACCTCCGTCACAACTTTTCATATATTATATTGGAATTATTTGTAATTCCAGTTCTTTGCATTAGACTAGGTAGTGGAACCAAGGGATAGAAGAGAGACAATTATATGCAACCTCTTGACAGAATAATCTAACTCACCTGGGACTGCCACAAAGAATTTCACAGCATCCCGGTGCCCATGGAAGCAAAGCTGTGCATGCGCCATTGAACAATAGGGTATAAATGTCCCTGGAGTCACTTTATCGCTGTTTTCATCACCATACACTCGGATTACACTTCCAGGACGATTTCCTGGTGCTCCTGAGGTTTTATTTGCTGCAACAGAAAAACCAAAGACCAAATATTTTCCCCTTGGAAACAGTAATGATGTAGGGTGTTACTGGTTAATCCTTATGATTATTATCTAAAAGCTACAGCCAGTTGAGGTAAAAACAAGGGCAGCAATGCCAACTCAAGACAAAGCTGGGAAAAAAAGGTAACATAGCATGCTAGTTATTTTTAAGTACCTCAGTAAATGGAGTAGGGGATTTTGCCAGTCTAGCAATAACTACACTTAGTTTTTAAACATATCTATTAATTAAAACAAAAACAAAAACAAACTTAGTTTAAGAAAACCAGATTTGAATCTTAGGTATGTCTGTTTTATTTTTATTTATTTATTTTTTAAATCCCCATTTTAGAAGACTAACCCGTTACACAGTTTACAGTAAATGGGTATATTGTTAAATAAAAATTTCATAGTTTTATCTTCTGATTTTTCTCCCCTGTGGTACGAGAATCTCCCTTAAGGAGGTGGTAAAAAGCTGTGTTTAAAAGGCTACAGCCACTGCAATAGAGTAGCTTTTAAATATTTACACCAGACTGACGGCTTGCTGCATTATTTTAGAACAACCAGACTCACAAAACATCCCCATTCCATGGGCCAGTAAGTGAATGAAAGAAACATGGTCGGTAATAAGAGTAAACAATGGAGATTAATGACAGTTTTAAGAGATGTGTCGTGTTTTTACTGGAAGGAAAACAAAGTCTGGAAGAAAGTTCAGCTGCAACAAAAGATGATAAATACACTAAGCGGCTGAGCAGTAGTTTGGTGGCCATGTAACAAACGTTAAAAAACAAAACCAACAGAACACCTGCTGCGATGCAGTGACTGAGTGGATGGCATTTAGGAACATTCAAGAGGGCGTCTAGAGCTGGAGGACAGCCTCCCAGTGGCCATCAGAAGCCAGGAAGAAGAGCTGGGTCCAGGCTCTGCACTTACCCCTCAGCCCCAGTAAGCGTCCCTGGTGGAGGATTACAGCTACAGTGAGAGAGGAGGAAAGGCACATGGAGAGGTGCACGGCAGGGGGATGGGCACTACCATGAGCCTCCACTCTCGCGCCTTCTCTTCTAAGCTCCTCACTACATTAACAAAATCCAACTTGGTATAACACCAAGTAACACGGAAAGTTCTTACCAAAGCCTCTGTACAAGATCTCTGCTCAAAAAGGACAGTATGATTTACTGTGATTTTGCTTTTCTTAATTATAAAGCCATTTCAGAGAAGAAGAACTGATTTATCAGGGAGCGTTTCCTAAATGCGAATATTTCCCCCTTTTCTTTAAGAAATCTGGTTCAAATAGCTATGCTAAAATGGAACTCTCTTTTACAAAGAAGTGACATCAACTCCTGTAGATTTGTAAGTAATTGCACAAAAGATAGCTGGGAATAAGAATTTAGGTTCTTCAAAGGCTCCAGATAGACTACCCCCCAAGCGTCCCCCCTTCTCCCTAAAGAAAGGTAGGGAAATTCCTCAGAACTATTTTATTTAGTTATCAACTTATTTTCTGGACTTATGGCACTGGTTTTCAAACCATTCCTGGCCCACGAATTCTGTAACACAAAAATGCTCATTTGATGAATAATCAATGTAATGGAACATAATATGAAAAACAATGTACATTTTGTTCACAAAAATAACAATAATGAAACATAATATAAAAAACATACAATGTACATTTTGTTCACATCCTTTTCACATACAGGAGAGATGGCTTCTCTCCAGCATCACGAAGCTCTTGCTGACCTAAGAAACTTTTCCCACAACATTTTCAAAACCTCAAATAAGCCAAGTGGAACATCCAAAGGAACTGCCAGAGGACTGTGAAGAACCAGAATGGTTCTAGGCCGTTTCTAGATATTGATGTACTAACACTGGAAGAAAGCCAGACTTCATGCTTTATTTAAATAATGAAATAGGACTACGGTTCCTGAATTGAGAAAAGGAGCCTCTCACAATGGAACATTTTTTAGTTATAAACGTTGGTCCTGACACATGGACACTGTTAATTCACTAAAATTTATAAGTTTTGTAGAAGTGATGAAGGAACAATAGTTAGGTCTTTGTCATCAGCTTGATTTCCTGAATTACCAGATTTGCCAATACCAAAATCATTCCTTTTGTTTGAATTCTGGACACAACTATACCCTGCAACTCTTCTGTTTGCATTGTGACAATCAGCTAAAATTATACTTACTTTCTGTCAATGGGATGGAGATAATGACACCGTTTCCTGTTCCCACCCACAAACGATTGCAAGACACCATAAGAGCTGTGATCCGCACAAAAGAGAAGCCCAGTTTTCCAGTACCTGTACAGTGGGGGGAAAATTTTTTATTGAGAAACTAGAGCAGATGATGTTTTAGGTTCCAAGTCCCTCAGAATGGCTGGATTAATTTTAAGAGAGAAGAAATGTGACCAGAGCTAGTTGGATATTTCCTGAAGGTGCACATCAAAGCAAACTTTCATTGGGCTTTATCACCTATCTGATAACTCATTGTTAATGAAAAAAGAAAATTCTGGGACCCCTGGGAGGCTCAGTCGGTTAAGCGTCTGCCTTTGGCACAGGTCATGACCTCAGGGGTCCTGGGATCAAGCCCTGCATCGGGCTCCCTGCTCAGTGGACAGCCTGCTTCTCCCTCTCCCTCTGCTGCTACCCCTGCTTGTGCTCTGTCTGTCTCTGTCAAATAAATAAATAAATAAATAAATAAATAAATAAATAAATAAAAATCTTTAAAAAAAAAAATTCTAGGGCGCCTGGGTGGCTCAGTCGTTAAGCGTCTGCCTTCAGCTCAGGTCATGATCCCAGGGTCCTGGGATCAAGCCCCACATCGGGATCCCTGCTCCGCGGGAAGCCTGCTTCTCCCTCCCACTCCCCCTGCTTGTGTTCCCTCTCGTGCTGTGTCTCTCTCTGTCAAATAAATAAAATCTTAAAAAAAAAAAAAAATTCTACAAGTGGCTGACATTACATTATCATTCAGAAAGAAAATACTGTTGATCAGGAGGTATGACACAAGATTTAATTAGGGAGCTGCCAAAACAAACCCAAAACAAAAAACAACAAAAACAGAGTTTGCTAGATTGGAAAATCAAATGTCCTTTGTTTTTATAAGCTAAAAGAGTTCTGCTTTGCCTTAAGTTTCTTTGCATAGATAAAAACAATCTTTAACAAAATTTATAATCTTTCCTTGTTTACATATTTTTATTCTAGAGCAGTTTAGAAATTTTAGGGTATCATAGGCATATAATTTAGGGAGAATGGATGCACTTTTTTGATTTGAAGGGAATTTTTACAACTGATTTTATTTTCTGAGAGTTGAAAGGAAAATTCTTAAACAGATAATCATACATTTAAGACAAAGAGCATTTATTTAGTTACAAGTTCTACTTATAAGAACAGAATATGATCACAGTGTTAGAAGGAGCCTTAACTCCATTCAGTCTAAGCTAGAGATCTTTAACCTATGGTCAAAGTATATTCCTGAAATTGGGGGCCTGGGTGGCTCAGTTGTTTAAGTGTCGGACTCTTGGTTTTGGCTGAGGTCATGATCTTGCAGTCCTGGGATCAAGCCCTCCATCGGGCTTCGTGCTCGGTGCAGAGTCTGCATCAGATTCTTTCTCCTCCTCCCTCCCCTCTAACCCCTTCCCCGCTTGTGCACGCTCTCTAAAACACATAAAATCTTTAAAAAAAAAAAAAGAAAGAAAAAAAAGTCTATTCCTGAAATTAGTTTGCGTTTATGACATTCCTAATACTCAGAGTGCTAGATTAGGAGCTAAGGATAAAGCAGGGACCAAGCCAGAGATGGTCCCTGCCCTTTGTGGGGCTTCTGATCTTTGGGGGAAGAGAGACAACAAACAAGAATCTAATATTATTGGTGCAACCACAATAATAAGCCCAAGAAGGGAAAGCATGAGAGGACTTAATCAAATTGGGAGAACAGGCAAGGTCTGTGCTCCATGTGACATGTAAGCTACAGCCTGAAAGCCAAGTAAAAAGGGACCGAGAAGAACTTCCCCAGCAGAGGCTCTAACACATGTGAGGGGCCTGAAATGGGAAGGAACTTGGTGAGCTCAGGTCAGTGTGAGCAGACCAGAGCGAGTGAGGAGAGTAGTCCAGGCCCCTGGACCAGTTCTTCTGGTGTTGTCACAGAATGTCACCTCACCTAAAGGTAGGAATATTCTAAAAGTGGCTGGTGTTACATAAGTATGTCATGGTGGTACCGGCACACTGGTTACTATGCTGGGAACAGACTGGAGTAGAAACACAGAGACCAGTTATGAGGCTCACAGTTATCTAGGGGGGTAAGGATGGTGGCCTGGTCTGCAGGGATAATAGTAGAGATAAAGAAGTAACCGATTTAGGATATTTTTGGAGACAGACTTGACAGCTCCCAGTGATGGATTAGGTGTGGGGAATAAGACAGGAGTCAAAAATGATCCCAAATTTCTGTCAAGAACCACAGGGTGCACGGAGCATCTGCCTGACACTCTCAGTGATAAGAGCTCACTAGTCCTGAGGCAACTTATTCATTCGTTCTACCTAGCATTTGAGACCATTTAAAAATAAAACGTTTTCTTCAACTGACATAGATAGAATGCTTTGGAAGCTTACCTAACATTTTGCTTACATAAGGCTCAATGTCCACATCCTGTAGGTGCTGGTAAGTGTGTGCATGATAGAGACGAAGTGTGGAGTCCAAACGAATGGAGACCCACACACCGTCACCCACCCATGCAAGCTGCCGCACCTGGCTCTCCTTCCTGGGGTGTGCGTCAAAGGATTTCTAGGAAAGATTGTTTGACCACAGCGTTACTTTGATTAAGCAGGAGTTCATGTTTAAAAACTGTGCTAATCTGCACAACAATTTGGCAGACCGTATATTAAAAGAGGAGCCTAAATACTATTTTATTAAATAGGATTACTTTTACATACACAAATGCTTCTATCCCGGACTGTAAAAGAAAACGAAGAACAAACAACTTAAGGATGCTAGATTTCGGCACTGCGTAGGATATCAACTTACCAAAGTAATATTGGCATATCCAGACTCTAACAGTGTTCAACAAAAAGACTGAATTTGATCTCAGGATGTTGTATTGCTGCAGAGCAACGCATGAAGTAAGAGCCTATTTAAAATTAAACAAAAAGGAACCTACATTGCTCTGTGTGCATGTAGGAACTAGATTTGGGAGAAAAAAATCCCACCAAAGGATTAACTTTGGGACTTCTAGGAAACCAAATGGGATTTGGAACAAAGGAATAAGGACTTTTACCTTAAAATTTTCCTGCCCTTTTTCTTTTTCTTAAATAATTAGAATGAATTTATGTATTGTGGCAAAACTTTTAAGAGAGCAATGCTAAGAGGTTTTTATTTTTATAACAAGATGCCACTGCAATCTTATTTCTCAGTCTATGACACATGTATGGATTTTCCTGGATCCACATGGAGTGACAGAGACGTGGGAAACCTCCTCCCAAACAACCCACACGTAATTAAACATATCAAGAACCAAGTATCCAAATAATACACATATTGCATCTATGGATATTCAGACACACATTTAAACATTCATGTGTGAATCCTCCCTTCCTTAAAAAAAACACTTCCCACCATAGTCAAAAGTGGCAAGAGAGGTGAAGTAACACAGAAAGCTGTCATCCAGGGACGCCTGGGTGGCTCAGATTGTTAGGCGTCTGCCTTGGGGTCAGGTCATGATCCCAGGATCCTGGGGATAGAGCCCGTATCGGGCTTCCTGCTCAGCGGGGAATCTGCTTCTTTCTCTCCCTCTGCTCCTCCCTCCAGCTCCTGCTATCTCTCTCTCTCTCTCTCAAATAAATAAAATAAAAAATCTTAAAAAAAAAAAAAAAAAAGCTGTCATCCAATCCATCACCGATGTGCCCTAAAACACACAGATTCAGAAAACAGTTTCTAAAGAAGCTAAATATAATTATAGTCTTCAGAAAATACAAATTCAGTAAATACAGAAAGCATAGGTTAACTTACCTCTATTTTCATAGCCTTTGGCTGAACCACATAGATTTTGTTCCTATAGCCACACCAGACTTTGTCATGTACCACAGTCATGCAGCGGATGGAATGGTGAGGCCGTCCAAGGTCTAACAGGTGATAGTTTGACAAATCCCACTGCCCATCTTTAAAATAAGAAACAAATTATTAGTTAATGCATACCACCTTTTACTCAATTTTAACACAAGAAACATTCTATTTGGGTGCATTAATAAATTTATTGGTGACGCACTGCAAAATACCACATAGGACTGTTTATCTTTTCTTTGCAGAGACTGAATTCTCTCCTTCTATTACTGCACAGTTGGGGAAGAGATCTCAGAGGGCATCTGGTCCAATGAGCCACCCAGTGCCTGGATCTCCATACTCCCTTGCAGTGATGTGATCAATCAGCCAGAAGTTATCCGTTTATTATAATGGTTTAAGAATTAGAATGGATTTGATATTATTTTCTGGATAATATCTCTCTCTCACTTGCATTTTGATGTATCTTGTATATGTTAAGGACAACACATTGCTAACACTTTAGGAATTACACAATAACTTCTGATGGCAGAAATACAAATGACAATCAGCCACTGAAAGCTTGCTCTGTAGACTCTGCTTGAACAGTTTCAGTGAAAGAAAACGTACTGCCTCACAAAGCAGCTGTTCCATTTTCCAAAAGCTGTAACTGTCTGAAAAATACTCCCCACACCTAAGTAGTTCATCCTTGAGTGTCATCACCCATCAGTCTGTAGCCTTGTGCAATAGACACAGAAGAATTCAGTCCCACTTCTTTGTTACTGCCCTATGTTTTCTACTCTCAAAATGAAGCACTCTCGGGATGTGTTCTGTACATATCCCAGTTTACAGACCCTTTATCCTAACTCCACTTTGTCTGTGTTTGTTTAATATGCTATCTATCTACCAGAGTGGAGCAGGATTATCACAAGCCATGGTCTGGACAGAGATTTCTAGGAGGCTGAAGGTGCTCAGTAACTTATATTAAGTTTGGGGCCAACCTTTAGGTACTTCTCATTCTTCAGACATGTTACCCCCTTTTTACTCTTCTGAACCCCAACACAGAACTTGACATTTATCTTATTACATGTCTTTTGTCTGTTCTGAAATATAATTTTGGATTCAGCTTGCCAAAACATTTATTACCACATTTTTTCTAAGCTTTTGCACTTCTTAGCTGACTGACCACAAAATGACTAAAAGCCTCTGTGCCTCCAGGGGTGCCTGGGTGGCTCAGTCGTAAGCGTCTGCCTTCAGCTCAGGTCATGATCCCAGAGTCCTGGGATCGAGCCCTGCATCAGCTCCCTGCTCAGCGGGAAGCCTGCTTCTCCCTCTCCCACTCCCCCTGCTTGTGTTCCCTCTCTCGCTGTGTCTCTCCGTCAAATAAATAAATAAAATCTTAAAAATAAAAAAAAATACAAGCCTCTGGGCCTCCAGTTTCCTCATCTATAAAATGAGGATGACAACAGAATCTTCTTCATAAGTTGCGGTGAGGATTAAGCTCAGATAAAGTGTACAATGGGTCTGAACAAGGTAAAACAGACCCCCCTCACTTTCTGATGATAAGGAGTCATTAGCCAGCAAATTCTAGGTACCAGCCAGTTACAAAGACACCTAATCATCATCTACCCTTTATTTTTCCAAGCCCCAAAAGATATGAGACTTGGGGAAAAGTCTTGCTAAAATACGAATTTAGTGTATCTATGCTTATGGAATATTTTCCTGCTCTAGCAATCTAGCAGGTAGGAAATGAATGATCATTTCTGGCTGATACATATACCAAGGAGTTAGGAAGTGTCACATGCTCGCTTCCCTAGTTCTCTTATAACTCAAGGCAGGTTTTTGGACCTCCATCACCCCTCCCATCTGCAGATGATAGATACACTGGTTTTAAAGAGGAAGAACAGAAATCACAGGACACGAAAATGATTAAACCATATCCAATTAAAAACTTTTAAAACTTTCCAAATATAAGTGGATGCAAATTATTTTAAAAATACTGAACAACAACAACGAAGAAAACCTTCCCTCTCACTAAATTTCTCCTAACTGAAGAAGTGTATGAATGAGAAACAAGTGCCTCCATATCACATTATGTCAGAGTACCTTGAAATGATAAACTACGTGCACTCACATAATTACTTAAGTCATACACTGTTAGTGTTCAGTTTAAACCTTTATTCTTTCTCTTATTATCATTTCTTTAAAACATAGTCCAATCTGCTAGAAAATGCTTTTGCAAAGCAACAAATTGCGCACATTCTATATTCATAACAACTCACCAATTCCTCTGTGAAAGATTGCAAGGGTGCCATCAGCCAGGGCCACTAAAACAATTCCTTTCACATGTCTGCAAACAGCAAAAGGAATGTCAGAATTCTCCATCTGGGAATGCGGGGGGGACCACATGCCACTGAACTAGTTCAGAGGCTCTCAGGGGGCCAATCTGTGACAGCCAAGAAGCTTACACCAGAACCTGAAGAATACTTTTTTTTTTTTAAAGTCATCTCTACACCCAATGTGGGGCTCAAACTCACGACCCCAAGATCAGGAGTAACATACTCTATACTGAGCTAGCCGGGCACCTTGGAATATACTCTTCATTGAGAAAGTCTTTCATGTCAGCTGAACTAAATAAACAGCCTGTGTGGTGACTCTCTTATTTCACTTTCTGGCCCCAAGCTTCTCTCATCGCAGAAAGGCCACAGACCAGAGACAGATGCCTTGAGTGGAACTAACAATCAGCTCTGTGAACTTTGGAGTTTTTGATAGCGACATACAGAAAAGGACTAGTGAGTCAATGCCCCCAGTCAACACACTCACCAAGTCTAAAGAGTACCCTGAAATAAACATAAATTAATAGGTTCTCTCCCCAGAGTACTCTCTCCCCAGAGTACTACAGAACCCACAGTATGGTGAGGAATCAACCTGACAAGTGTGACTTAAAGCTCTACTTAGGAACTATTTTATTTTATTGTAAGAGTTTCACTCTCACTCAGCTCCTCTGATTCCATAAAGGGGGAAAATATCTGGATACTGACTTAATTATGAAGCACATGTTAGCTTTAATAGTCTTAAAAGATAGTTTATACCAAAATACGTATTTTTTAAAGGAAGAATTTCTAAAATAAAACTTACACAATACTGAGAATCGAATCTTTAAGTTTAATAGAATGGAGACATTTCCTCCACTGGGCTACAGATGAATGCACATACAAACTGCAAGAACAAAATCAAGACTGGTAAGGCATAGAGAAAATCAAGTTGTTGCTTACATCTAGTAATGACCACAAAGTTCCCTTAGGAGGAAAGAAGAGTAACACAAAAATCGTAGGAAATAACAACGAGAGTCTAACGTAAAGAAATAAGCTGCTTAAGCAAACAGAAACACAGAAGAGTGAAAAGTCAGCACTAGAATAATGCATGGTCAGTTAGTTTCAGGTTACCACATACTTCAGAATCCTTGGCTAAAATCTGTTTTTAAAAAATGACCTTACTCTTCTGCTACACCAAACCGTAACTTTCTGACGGCAGGCTGGTTTACATCAAGAGAGTGGCAAGCTATGGCCCGCAAGCCACATCTAGCCCTCCACCTGTCCTCGTATAGCATGCAAGATAAAAATGGTCTTTACGTTTGTAAATGGTTGGGAAAAAATCAAGAGTATTTTATGACGTCTGAGACCTGCACGAAATCCAGCCTTCAGGGCCCACCCAGCGTTCCAAGAGCCCAGCTGCACTCCGCTACAGACGTGCTGTCGGCACAATGGCCGCCTCTGCACCAACACGCCAGAGCTGAGAAGTTGCTAGAGATCATATGGCCACAAAGCCTAACATACTTCTTCTCTGGTCCTTCAGAGAAAAAGTGGGCTGGCCCTCCATTTTGTAGTATTAAGACTCCTATGGAAAAGATGCACTAGTGACCTTGATTAACCTGTGGAGAAGCACAATTTTCAGAGACTCCTCATACTACTAGAATATGAACAAACTATGTAATGTTAGTTATCATCTCCTAAGCTTTCAGGCTGGGATCTGTCCTGGTTTCCCTAGTACGTTTCGCGTTCGGAATGGAATTGAGCCTTCTCACAGCCAATAGATTAGTTTAATCGCTGGTATTTCCTGAATACACTCTAGCCTATATAAACCTTCTGTGCATCCATAATTCTGTCTCTGTGCTGTTCAGGATCTTCTATTTCTGGATCACCCAGATTTTCAAGTTTTATTTACCTCTTCTTCCAAGAATATTACATAAAGGGAACATTCTGTGACAAAGAACTATATGATTTACCATTCATAAACAATACAAGTCCAGTTTATGGGGTAATGAGAACATCATCTCAAAATCTGTATGTACATAAAGTTCTCTGCTTTAATATGTACTTTTTGTTGTATGCCTATGCACCACATTTTACTTATTTCTGATTCCAAAAAGTAAAAAACTAAAGATACTCCAATATTAAGAGTTGGCACCTACCAGCCATTCTGAGCTCCAAGCCACATAGTCGGTAAAAGGCTACTCATTTTCTGGGCTTCTTCTCTCACCAGGTCTTGTTCATTTGGCAATACTGATAACTGATCTTTATATGCATCTGAGTCATTACTAGGAAAGGTGAGAAAGGAAAGCATCTGAGCATGCTTAGCTACAGTTTTCAGGGACTGAACATTTCCACATTTTAGTTTAACAGTTTGAAAAAAAATATCAAACACTAACATTCCAGAAAAGCCAAATTTAAATGCTTATAATAAATATCTCAACAGTTGTACCAGAAGTAACATTAACATACTAGAGAGAACCAAGGTGCAGATAAGGGAGTTAAGACAGTAATACAGCAGTTAATATCCAGACTATAATTACGGTTCTCCCTTAGGGTTATTTTGAATTTTATAAGTTTTTTCTTAGGGGAAAAAAGAGGAAGGGATGGTTTGTTATAAGAGGAAAAACACAAACACACGAGAATGAGTATAAAGAATTTTCAAGGAGTGTCTGGTTCAATAGGTTAACAGTCTGCCCTCGGCTCAGGTCATGATCCCAGAGTCCTGGGGATCAAGCCCCGCATCAGGCTCCCTGCTCAGTGGGGAGTCTGCCTCTCCCTCAGCTCATGCTCCCTCAGCTCATGCTCCCTCAAATAAAATCTTAAAAAAAAATTTTTTTTTTCTAAAATAAATTATTAAACTAAAACACTCATATTCTCTCCTATGACCTTCTTTTGGATTGTCAGAACATTTTTAGAAAAAAAGTGGGCTGTCAAATTCAAAACAGACAAACCTGCTATTTCCAAAAAGATGACTTTATTCTTTTTCTTTTTTTTTTAAAGATTCTATTTATTTGACACACACATACACACACACACACACGCACCCCCCCCCCAGCACGCGAGAGAGAACATAAGCAGGGGGAGCTGCGGGCAGAGGGAGAAAGAGAAGCAGACTCCCTGCTGAGCAGGGAGCCCGACTTGGGACTCAATCTCAGGACCCTGGGATCATGACCTGAGCCGAAGGCAGACGCTTAACCAACTGAGCCACGCAGGCGCCCCAGATGACTTAAATTAACAAATGTTAATAGACAGTTATCGCTCTATAAGAAGAGGAGTATTAAATTATAAAAAGAATCACGTTTAGCTAGATCCCCATCAGCTTTCTATAAAGGCCTAGAGAAGGCAGAAAATAAAGAATTCATTAAATGGGCCTAGATTACCCATTGCTTTAAAGGAAGAGCTATTTGCCAGAAAACAAAATTCAAAAAAGTCATCGGAGCCCGCATGGGGAATCTAAACTGCGAATTTCGCAGCTAACTAGGGTTGGAGAGGAGGGCTGGGGAGGAAAGTGGCACAGTTACAGTTTGAATGGAAATGAAAGATCATTATCAGAGGAGAAAATGACCAGGAAGATTTTGACTACTGTACTTATGGGCAAAGTTTTTTTGTGTGTGTTTTTTGTTTTGTTTTTTAATTTAAAAGGAATAGAGAACACAAGGGGGGTGTGGGAATCCAGATCAGAAGCAGTGGAAGGAGAGATGGAGACATAGCGGGAATACTGTGGCTGCTTGAGATGATCCCGGTTCCTTTTATACTTCTCTGGTTTCCTAAGTTACTGACCCATCTGCATACCTTGACTGATACACTGGTGAGAGGTCTTCCGGGATTTGAACTCCCAGAGGATCTGTAAAGACGTGCTCTGTGTACACGCCAGGCTGGGAGATGTCCACGGTGTCTTCAGCTGACCCTGCATTGCCTTCTGTGGCTTCAGTTGCTTCTTCTGCTGTTGGAATGTTTTCATCAACCTCACTGTTTTCTGCTTCCTTTTCTACAAAATAAATAAAACATGCTAACTATTTTGAGTTTGAGCTTTTCTCCCCATCATTTCCCCACACAAACCACCGCTGCACAGTTTCACTCCCCCTACCCCATCTTCCCCACATTATACCATGAAATACAGAATTCTTGTTTTAATGGGCATTACAGTATTACAGTGTCTTCTTTTGAGCTCTTTCATCCTCGTTACTTCAAGATCTAAATTGAGGAGGAGTCCTAATGAGGCCTCTGGAATAGGCTGTGACTCTATACTGATGGCATGAAAGGAGGAGAGTGGTACCTGGTGGGTTTTCCATCACTGGAGAAGCACCGTTGGTACTCGGGGAAGTGGCAGCTGCTGCCACACTTTCTGTAGAACAACCAACCACTGTGATGCCCCCCAACAGGCTGTCTGTCTCTGCTGAGCTATTGCTGGTCATGCTGCCACATAAAGATGCTTTGTCTACCTGTCCAGATTCGGAAAGCTCTTCTCCTGCAGGGTAGTCTGTTTCTCTTGCTCCTAAAAAACAAGATAAAACTTTTTATTTTATTTAATTTTTTTTTTAAAGATTTTATTTATTTATTCGACAGAGAGAGAGAGACAGCAAGAGAGGGAACACAAGCAGGGGGAGTGGGAGAGGGAGGAGAAGCAGGCTTCCCGCGGAGCAGGGAGCCCGATGCGGGGCTCGATCCCAGGACCCTGGGATCATGACCTGAGCCGAAGGCAGACGCTTAACGACTGAGCCACCCAGGCGCCCCCAAGATAAAACTTTTTCTAACAGCTAATCTTATTTAGTCATTTGTTTCCAGTTTATTTTTGGTCTTCCCCAACTACAGCATAACCTCCATGAGAGCGGTGCATAACTACCTCCAGCAAACAAGTCAGTTCCTGCCAGTAAAAAGGTGTAGATGGTAGGAAGAGAGGGACATGGCTTCCTCTTACCTGGTACACTTGCTATACACAGAACATGAGAGTTGCAAACAGTGAAACTGTCTAGGATGTTGCCTGGTTGAATAGCATCAATAATGATAACTTTTGTAGCTGAATGAGTGCTGGTACAGATCCAGACTAGACTGGATAATTCTTCTTGATTTTTTAACTCCTTCTGCTGTTCCTATGTATACAAAGTAAGAGAATGAATGTTTAAAATGATATGCATGTGTACAAATTCATAACACTGTGTTGTAACAGTAAAGGGCAATACTGTTTTGCATTTATTTTCAGATTATTTGAAAAGGCTAAAAATACAACCACCTTTCAATATTAATTAGTACACTAAAAAATAGCAGTTAAAGCAGATCAATGATAAAAATGTTCTATATCTTGATTTTGATTGTTCTTAAACAGGTACATACATGTGTCAAAACTCTTTGAACTGTACACATTTCAAGTGTATATACCTTATCATATGTAAAATACACCTCATAAAATGGATCTAAAAAAGAGAGAGCATGAGGAATAAGCAAGGGCATAATAATCCCAATTCGAAGCTGGACCAGAAGTAAGTTCTGGACCAAAAAGCTACAACCAGGAGGTCAAATGTTAATGCACACACTTACCTTAAGTTCCTGGTCTAACTTGTCTAAGCTACTCTGCGACGCACTTCGCTGTTTACTGCCTTCTGTATCCAAACCAGCAACATCCTTGTAAAATACACTTGCTCCAACAACAGAACCACCATCTCTGGTCTTTCCACCTGATAAATTGACTCCAACAGCACACCACAGCTTTTTGGATTTGAAAAGGGGGCGGTATTAAGTCATTTTCTCTCTAAAAATGTTTAGAACTTTTCACATTTCTTTAAAAATCTAATGATCATGAATACAGGTCTTTTTTTGGTTGTTGTTCCTTTCGTTCAAGTAAACTCTCCCCAATGTGGAGCTCGAATTCAAGACCCTGAGATTAAGAGTTGCACATTCTACTGACTGAGTCAGAAAGGTGCCCCATGAATACAGGTCTTTGATATTCAAAGTATTCCAGTTTAAAATTACAAAATAAACAATAACCTCACCCACAAAAGCAGAATTTAAACTTTTCTGGTTTTAGAAAGAGAATCCATCCAGAGTTTAAGAAATATTTCCTTTAACTTCAAAATTAATTTACCTTCATTGATGTATCTTTTTCATCTAGAGGTCTGAGATAGACGGGCACAGGTAGATTTTTCATCTTATTTTCCCCTTGGCCATTGGTTACCTGATAATTAGGGAGGGGAGAGAAAAAAGACACATTGGTAAGCCTCATCAAAAGTGAACTCAAAGAACAACTGAGGCATGGGCAAGCACTGCTGGTATATTATTTCCTCTTTGAAATCATGTCCAAGTTAATTCTGTTATTCTTATTTGAAAAATAAGCAGAAAGTCAAGTGGCAGTTAGAAAAAATAAACAAGATACTATGGAAGCCCAGAAGAGATAACACTACTTCATGTATGTTAGTGCGCGCGCATGTGTGTGTGTACTCATGTGTGAGTCTTTTAGGGATAGGGAATACGGAAGTAGACAAAGTTCCTGTAAACCTGAACTTAGGTTTAAGTCAACAGTTTGAAAGGTTACATGACAATACAATGGTTTCTTAAAACTTCTAAAAAACAGAGGTTGGTTTTTTGGGTACCTGGGTGGCTCAGTCAGTTAAAAGGCTGACTCTGAATTTTGACTCAGGTCATGATCTCAGGATCCTGGGATCGAGCCCTGCATCAATCTCCCTTTCCCTCTGCCCCTCTCCCCTGCTTGCCCTGCGTGTGTTCTCCCTCCCCCCTCTCTCTCTGAAATAAATAAATCTAAAAAAGATGTTTTTTTAAAAATGAAATCTTCAAATATTAAAATAGAGCAAGATATACATGCAACTCAATAGCAAAAACAAACAAACAAATGGATTAAAAAATGGGCAGAGGATCTAAACGAACATTTTTCCTAAGAAGATACAGACAGCCAAAGGGTACATGAAAAGATGCTCAACATCACTAATCATCAGGGAAATGCAAATCAAAACCACAATGAGATACCACCTCACACCTGTCAGAATTGCTATTATCAAAAAGACAAGAGGCGAGGATGTGGAGAAAAGGAAACCCTAATGTACTGATAGTGGGAATGTAAATTGGTGCAGCCATTATGGGAAACAGTATGGAGGCTCCTAAAAAATAAAAAATAGGGGCACCTGGCTCATTTAGTCGGTAGAGCACGTGACTCTTTTTTTTTTTTGACATTTTCTTTTCTTTTCTTTTCTTTTTTTTATTTATTTTTTTATCCCCATACATTACATCATTAGTTCTAGATGAAGTGTTCCATGATTCATTGTTTGGAGCACGTGACTCTTGATCTTGGGGTCATGAGTTCAAGCCCCACTTTGGGCACAGAGATGACTTTTAAAAAAAAATAAAAATAGAATTACTATACGATCCAGCCATTCCACTTCTGGGTATTTATCTGGAGAAAAAAAACCATTAACTTGAAAAGATATATGCACCTCTATGTTCACTGTAGCATTACTTACAGTAACCACGACATGGATACAACCTAAGTGTCCATCAATAAAGGAATGTGTAAGGGAAATGTGGTATATAAATACAATGGATTATTATTCAGCCATAAAAAAGAACAGTAGTCTTCCATCTGTGACAACATGGATGGAACTTGAGGGCATTATGCTAAGTGAAGTAAATTCAGACAGAGAAAAACAAATACTATATGATCTCACTTAAATGTGGAATCTTAAACAAATATACAAAGCTCATAAACACAGAGAATAAACTAGAGGCTGCTAGAGGCAGGGGTGAGAGATTGGTGAAGTGGTTCGTAAAGGAGGTCAAAAGATACAAACTTCCAGTTATAAATTAAGTCATGGGGATGTACGGTACAGCATGGCAACTACAATTAGTAATACTGTATTGCACATTTTTTTCTTCTAAGATTTTATTTATTTTACAGAGGGAGACACAGCGAGAGAGGGAACACAAGCAGGGGGAGTGGGAGAGGGAGAAGCAGGCTTCCTGCGGAGCAGGGAGCCCGATGCGGGGCTCGATCGCAGGACCCTGGGATCATGACCTGAGCCAAAGGCAGACGCTTAACGACTGAGCCACCATTTAAAGTTGCTAAGAGAGTAAATCTGTAAAGTTCTCACTATAAGAAAAAAAATCTGTAACCATGTTTGGTGATGATTTTTAACTACACTTACTGTGGTGATCATTTCACAATATATAAAAATATCAAATCATTATGTTGTGTACCTGAAACTATTATAACGCTGTATGTCAATTATCCCTCAAAACAAAACAAAAAAGAACAAAAAACAAACCAACAGATTACCTCAAGTCTGTGCACTTGGTAAACCTCCTGTTGACCCCTCTGCCTCCTCACAGACTCAGGCATTTCTTTTGAGCTCTGGGGCTCTAGAAAACAGCCTGAGAACCACTACCTTCAACCCTTCTCTAAGTGTGTGCCAAGTCAATGAACTTGAAACTAGCAGGTTTGAGACAGGTATTTCAATTCCTTCATGCCCAGGCATACTCCTCTCCCCTAGCACTAACCACTAGATGCTCTTACCATTCACATCTTACCTGTTTGTACTTCTGAGGCAGACTCCAGCCAAAAGCCTGCACTCTACCATCTTCCTTCTGAACATGTGCCTTTACCTGACGATACTGTTCTCTCTTTTGTTCTCTGCGCGAGGCTAAACTAGCTTCAGTTCTAAAAGGCAAAGAAATTTCCCTTTTTAATTAAGGGAATATAACAGTGTATCTCCCCTTTCCCGCTAAGACAGCAAAAATGACCAAAAAAAAAAAAAAATCACCCAATTTCAGTTTACTTCAGAGTTCTGCATTTCTAAGAAGTGTTAGCCTAAAGCTGGCCTTTTAAAGTTGTGCAGTGGGTACAGTGTTCAAACTTTAACAGATTAATCGCAAGCAGCTTATTTTATTATGTTGAATCATCAGCCATCAAATTTCTATCAGATTTCAGATTTGGCCACATGAAAGGGAAAAATTCTTAAGTATTTTTTAGTTCCTCCCTTTTTTGTTCATTCAACAAATATTTACTGAGAATTTTCTCATGCCAGGGAATGTGCTAGAAGTGACTCAAGATCAATAAATCAGTATCTTCTTAGGAAGATAACAAAGATTAATTTTTGGACCCCACTGCTTTGTTTCAGAAGACAAAAATGCAAACTGACTTGCTATGTATGCCATAGTTAACAAATCTGTGTGTCAGACACTTTACAAACCCTTGGTAATTTAACCCTAGTGCCTCTGAGACAGGTTATCCTACTCCATTTACAAGCAGAGAAACTGGGGCTGAGAGGTTAGCTTGTCCAAGTTCATGTACCTCATGAGCATCAGAGTCAGGAGGGAAAATAAACTTCTTCTGACACCAAAGGAAATGTTCAAACATTTAGGATAAAGGCTTATATAGGCCTTTAACATTTTACTAATATTTACCAGTGTTGTTGACCAGCAACAAAGAGACATTTTAAAACAACTTCTGTTTATGAAACCTGTGAAATACAGTTTTCATAAAAGGTATTGACTACAAGTAATCTACTTAAAGGTAGGCAGCCACGTTATAGAAATGGCTTCTTTATGGACTTATGTGAACCTTACAGCTGATCGGATAAGGGGCAAGAATATTCTGAACTATTAAGTTATTTAGCGCATAACCACTAGTCTGCAAAATACTTACTCTTCACTAAGGAAATCAAAGGCTTTGGACTTATCCCCAGGGAGCTGAGATAAGGTGCTGCTTCTTTTCTTGACAGAAGGAGTAACATGAGAAGTGGGTGCATTGTATTTCAAATTAACAGGTGGTTCAGGCTTCTTAGTAGTATTACTTGAAGAGCTGAAAAGTCGGCTGAAACTAAAAAGAAAAAACGTGAGAGAGCGAGAGAGAGCAAGAGAGAGAGCGCGCGCAAGAGAGAAAGAGTGTTATTACATGCACTATGAAAAACAATCCATTACTTTCCATAAATTTCAGAGTGCTTTTACAAGGCAATGAGTTAGAAACTGGCAGAAAGAGTTTTTGTACTCATACACTGCAGCCTTAGCAATAACTCACAGCCAAACTCAGACATTCAGGGAAGAGAAACTATTGCTTAGAATGGCAGATCCTCGCACTTTAATTAGCAATTCACATAATGAAAGAAAGAAACTCTTAAGTACGGGGATCTTCTTGTAATGAAGAAATAAGACGGGTACTAGCTCTTACTTGGTAAGTAGTTGTTAAACAGCAATGTTATAGCTGCATGGTTTGAACAGAAGCTTAGTTTGCCAGTTCTAAAAGTGGTAATAAAGTACTGGAACACATACTACCATTTTAACATACATCTTATACCTTTTCTTATTAAGCCTAATTTATAGATCTACCTTCACATCCACTTAAAAGAATTAACACTTCTATTAAATAGCGGATTCACCAAAAAGGGTAAATTTTAAGTATAGTAAATGCACAGTTCTTCTGGCATGAACATAAATCAAATCTGAAACACACAAATACACACACTACTCAAACCTACAGACACTAAATTTCTAAGCTTTACTTTATATAGTTCTTTACAATCACACAACCAGTGCATCCATATAACTTATTTACTGAGGATCCAGGTAATTATCAACTCTATGAATAAATCCCCATCATTTTTATTTAATTTAGCAGAAGATTCCATCGAGTGCATAACCAACAGGATGCAGCTTACGACAGCATGTGTTTGTCCTCAAGAATAGCCTTACCGAGCTGGCACGCTATGTATCAAAAAGAAAAAAGTTCAATTTAGCCATATACTCCAAATTTTAAAAAGAAAGGAGACACGAAATCATTCTCAGAAATAAATTTTGACTGCAATCTTGTCTCAAAGGGCTCTCTGAAGTCTTTAATGTGTTTTTAGATACTTACAACTGCCAAATGCTTGACCTTTTTTTTTCCTGCATGGCTGGATTTTCTCTTGATGCACTATATTTTAAAAGAAAAACAAAGAAAAAAAATGTCTCATCAGTGAGGTGTTTTAGTTTTTTAGTTTTCTATCTGAAGAACTTCCCAAGAAGTTCATGGGATACACAAGAGAATCAACAATTAAATTCAGTAAATAGTTGCTTTGACCTATCATGTGTCAGTCAGCCTGTAAAAGCCAGTACAACTAAGATAAATAAAACACCATCCCTCCATCGAAAAGCTCAGTCCACTGACAGAGACAAGACTGTTATCTGTGCTGATCGGACAGCCAACAGGCCTGAATGTAAATATTTTTTAAAAATTTTATTGAAGAGATATCTTCCAGTTCTCACTTTTGTCAAAATACTGTCTTTTGAATCCTTATCTTTACATAAAGGTCTCTATTGTCCTCATGCTCTAGCTCTCACAAGATAGCCTGTAACTTTACTGTTCTGATGGGTCATTTTTCATAGGACAAATACTTTCCCATTACTGAAAAGATGACCAGAGAAGGGGATAAACTGGATTGATAGGTAGTTCAACAAAATTTCAGAAAATAAGGCACTCCAAACTAATTTAGTAAGATGGTAAGGATCCTGCGCTCACTATGAGAGCTCACTTTTCACATTTTTTTTAAAGGACTAAATTGAAAACATCTTTAATTCAATGGAAAAGTAAAAAATGAGACACCACTTCGTTTCACTTGTGGACTATCACTTGGCTGCTAGAACTAAAAATAGCAAGGAAAAGAGGAGCCTGTTGGGGAGCCTGTTGGAGAGCCTGGGTGGCATAGCTGGTTAAGCATCTGACCCATGGTTTCGGCTCAAGTCTTCATCTCAGTGTTGTGGGATTGAGCCCCATGTTGGGCTCCATGCCGAATGTGGAGTCTTGATTGAGATTCTCTCTCCCCCTCCCTCTATCCCTCCCGTTCATGTTCTCTAAAATAAATAAATATTAAAAAAGAAAGATGGAGCCTCTCTATATACCTCAATTTTTAAAAAAGATTTAGTTACTTATTTGAGAAAGACGGGGGCGGAAATCTCCAGCAGACTCCCCGCTGAGTGCAGAGCCTGATGACACAGCCCAATCTCATGACCCCATGCCATCTAACGGCCATATTTTCAGGGCCTGAGCCGAAGTCAAGAGTCGGAGGCTTAACCGGCTGAGCCACCCAGGCGCCTCTACCTCAATGCTTAAAATATTTATTATTGGGCGCCTGGGTGGCTCAGTTGGTTAAGCGACTGCCTTCGGCTCAGGTCATGATCCTGGAGTCCCGGGATCGAGTCCCGCATCGGGCTCCCTGCTCGGCAGGGAGTCTGCTTCTTCCTCTGACTCTCCTCCCTCTCATGCTCTCTGTCTCTCATTCTCTCTGTCTCAAATAAATAAAAATAAAAATCTTTAATAAATAAATAAATAAATAAATAAATAAAATATTTATTATTTATGTAATATCCATTAAATGTTTGAGTTAAAGACAAATTTCTTAGTACATTACTTTCTTTGAACAATTAATGAAGATCAGAATACTGATCTCCTTCCTTCTTAGCAGCAATTACAAGTTTAGCAAATTGTAAATGTGCTATACAAAGTACTTTTGTTCTAGTATGACACTGGTAAAGGACATATAAACTGTTAAATAAATAATGTAATCACAAAGAAGTAAAAGTTGGAGGTTAAAAAATATGTTCATAAACTTTAAAACAATGTGTCAGTATATATGTACTGTTATTGGTAAATCTGACATGGGACTCCAAACTCAAAAATATGGGCAAATTACATCAGAAAGGATGAATACCCAACTTTTACATCAACATGGATGGGACCGGAGGAGATTATGCTAAGTGAAATAAGTCAAGCAGAGAAAGTCAATTATCATATGGTTTCACTTATTTGTGGAACATAAGGAACAGCATGGAGGACATTAGGAGAAGGAAGGGAAAAATGAAGGGGTTGGAAATTGGACGGGGAGACGAACCACGAGAGACTATGGACTCTGAAAAACAAACTGAGGGTTTTGGAGGGGAGGGGGGTAGGGGGATGGGCCCGGTGATGGGTATTAAGGACAGCACGTACTGCATGAAGCACGGGTGTTATATAAAAACAATGAATCATGGAACACTACATCAAAAACTAACGATGGACTGTATGGTGACTAACATAACCTAATAAAATTAAATTAAATTAAAAAAAATATGGGCAAATTAGGGGGCAACTAGTTCACAAACTGTTCATGAGCTCTTCCTAAGTTAAGGAACACTGTTACTGAGAATATGGCCGTTAGATGGCAGCAGTAGGTGAGATCTAAGATCAGATCAACAAAGATGTCAATGGAGGGTACATTTTGCATGAATAGCCAGAAAGGAGGGGGAAATTGGACAAGAGTATTTTACAGAAAGACATGGAGTAAAAATGACTTAGTTTTCTGGGTAGAACGTGAAATTTATATCTTTCCCTGACATTACTGTAAAAGCAGTGTCAATTTCTATATTCTTTTGAAAAATGACCATCATTCCTAAGTAACAACAATTACCTCTTAGAGGTCACGGGAACATTTTCCAAGGGCCCTTTACCCAAAAGGCACCCATTTTGATCACATTCTGTCCCTAATATCTAGTGTTACTTTAGAAAGTTATCTCCTAGTAAACAGAGTAAGAGGTTTGGATCCCCAAGGCTGGACTCTAGTTCTGAGGGAAGGAATATTCAAACCCAGGAAACAATACTAGAAAAGCACCAAGAGGTACTTCTCATACGAACCGAATCATCTCTGTCCATCGAACAGCTTCCTGAAGCTCCATCAATCTCTCTTTATATTGGTTTCTCTCCATTAGAACGCGGGCCATTTCTACTCTAGTAAACCGCTTCCTCTGGGCTGTGGGAATATCACTCTATAATGAAAAGAACACAGCAGATCACTCTGGCAGCCTATATCTGCTTTTGGTGTTATGCTAAACTTAAGCAAAATCTTAAAGCTTTAAAACATTTCTTAATTTCTAATCTATTGCATCATTTAAAGAAAAATAACCTTATATAAAAATAAAATCAATAAAGAGATTTTAGTAATTACTTATGACGGAAAAGAGGTAAACAATTTAATTTCTGAATAGAAATACAAGATATTTGAACATACTGTAAAGCAAATACAAAGAACAGTGTAGATTCTGAACTAAAACCAAGAAAGATTAACAAAGTTAATCTATCTATATAGATTTAACATGCTTGCCTGGAAATGGTTCTTCTAACAACATTATTTTAAGTTGATGTTCTATAACAAATGCTAATTATTCAGCAATTTGTTACAAGTTAGTTCCAAAAGGGATTCACTCATCTCAAACTACCCATCATCTACATATATTGGCTAGGTACCAGGGTACCCAACTCTAAGAGTCATTAAAACACCAACAGAAATACAAGAAGCTGGAGACAAGTGTATTAACTAGAATTCTTCTTAGGGAGACTAAAGGATGTGACTATACTAAGACCCAAAGAAGCATGCTCAAGTCAACTTCCTTCTACTGTAATTTCTAAATGCTCTTCTGGGGGGAACACTGGTTTAACTGCAGGGCTCTTGTTTTGCTGAAGGGTGGGACAGTTAAGAAAGAGGCTAAGTTTAGTCCTTGGGGACCTCCTTCTTTGTCCTCCTGCTCTGAACTCTGCTTCTCAAACGAAGTCAAACAACAGAGGATTCAAGGACTCTGAGTCTGCAGCATAGCAATCACACTCCTAGATATATGCCATGGAAGAACCAGGAGACTTGCACTATAATGTTCCTAAAAACAGCACTGTTTGTGGTAGTAAAAAGCTGAAAATATCCTAAATATCCATTAATAGGAAAACAAATACATAAATTGTAATATTCATACAATGGGATATTATAACGGAGTAAACATGAATAACTTCTGGCATACACTACAACACAGGTAAATCTCAGAAACATAATGCCGAGTAAAAGAGGTAAATCTCCAAGTATGAAATAAAAAAAAACAATGAAAATTAAGCTATATTTTGTAGGAATACATATATGTGTGATATGATAAAATTATTTTTAAAAAAATTTTAGGGGCACCTGGGTGGCTCAGTTGTTAAGCGTCTGCCTTTGGCTCAGGTCATGATCCCAGGGTCCTGGGATCAAGCCCTGCAATGGGCTCCCTGCTCCACAGGAAGCCTGCTTCTCTCTCTCCCACTCCCCCTGCCTCACTGTTGTCTCTCAGTTAAATAAATAAATAAAATCTTAAAAAAAAAAAAAAAAATTGGGGCGCCTGGGTGGCTCAGTTGGTTAAGCGACTGCCTTCGGCTCAGGTCATGATCCTGGAGTCCCGGGATCGAGTCCTGCATCGGGCTCCCTGCTCGGCAGGGAGCCTGCTTCTCCCTCTGACCCTCCCCCCTCTCATGTGCTCTCTGTCTCTCTCATTCTCTCTGTCTCAAATAAATAAATAAAATCTTTAAAAAAAAAAAAAAATTTAAGTGAGCTCTACACCCAACGTGGGGCTTGAACCCACCACGAATCCAAGATAAGAGTCCCATGCTCTACCAACTGAGCCAGCCAGGTGCCCCGATAAAATCATTATCATTATTAAAGGTAAGAAAATGATATAGGATAGTGGTCTCCTCTGGAGGGGAGGAGCATAGGGTAGCTTCAATGTTTGATAATGTTCTAGTTCTTAGGTTAGGTGGTGGGTTCATTATGTTAATTTATTATGTTTCATAACTTACATATGTTACATATATTTTTGGTATGTACCAAGTATTATATATTTTAAAAAAGAGCAAGATTGCAGGGGCATTAAATAATCACTTTGTACAGGTTACCCACATATCTCAAGTCTGATGCTTGACCAACAAACACCTGTTACAGGAATGATCATCTAGCTACCAACAGTTACTATGATGCTAATTATATTGGTAAAACCTCATCCTTAGTCTTCTGTATTTACATATGTTGAAAACAGTATAAGCTGACTGCTTACTACTAAAGTCCTAGAATTCGGGGCGCCTGGGTGGCTCAGTTGGTTAAGCGACTGCCTTCGGCTCAGGTCATGATCCTGGAGACCCTGGATCGAGTCCCGCATCGGGCTCCCTGCTCGGCAGGGAGTCTGCTTCGTCCTCTGACCCCTATCCCCTCTCATGTGTTCTCTCTCTCTCATTCGCTCTCAAATAAATAAAATCTTTAAAAATAAATAAATAAATAAAATAAAAAAATAAAGTCCTAGAATTCATCTTTTTTATGTTTAATACTTTTAAACAACTTTATAATTAAGCTTTCATATTTCTAAGTCAAAATATGAGACAAAACAAAATGTTTCGGCTGGTCCTTGAGCTTGAACTTGCAAACAAGGTCACAGCACAGAGCCACAGAAAAAAAAATGAGCACACCACATGTAGCCAGAAAGCTCAGCCTCTGGATACCATGTGGGAGCATGAGGTAGCCTACTCATTAACACAGAGATCTTCTTTCTTTTTATAATGCTATATCCAAAGCTTAATTAGCAAGATTTTCTTTAAAAACCAAAATGTAGTAAGAAAAAAAGTCTGAAATCATAAACCTACATCATCGTCATCTTTTGCTTTTTGCCGTGCATCTTCGGCTTCTGCACGAGCTCTGGTGGGGAAAAAAAAAGAACATGTTATTTGAGTTGTGTTCATCTTTTCAAGGAATTAAAGAGTAGGTCAAAAATTTTAATCAACACTAAATGATTATTCTCTTTTCAGAGTATTTAGCTGCCTTCACTTCGGGGAACATTAGTGCAACACTGTTCTCAGAAAAAAACAAGTATTAAAGAAAGCTGGGTGAAGGAAAATAATGTTTCTAATTTCCTTATTAGCAAATTTTAGAATGGTTCTACTAATTTTTCTCACACAGTGACAGCCACAGAAAGTTAAATGATAAGGCTGGGCAAGCAAGGGGCGCACTGATATCCGAGCCACCAACGGGCACTTGGCCCTGACCCTCCTGGCAGCTGGTGCTCCTGGCCCGCTGGAGAAGGCTGCCGGCGGTGGCAGCAGGGCCAGCCTCGGGGGGACACCTATGACCCTCTGTGGCCCGCTGGCTAAGAGAGCTGGGTTCAGAACACCACCCAGGAAACTTACTTCCTAAGCTCCTCCTCCAGCTCCTTGTTCTTCTCCTCGAGCTTCAGCTTGGCTAGTTTTACAGCCTCCAGCTCCCCCTGCAGCACGTCCTTCTCGCAGGTCAGCTCATCCACCTTAGCTATCAAGTCATTCTTCACTACATTCAAAGCATGTCTAAGAAACACATATTTCGCATATATCATTACAAATGAGTACTCTTCCTGTCTTTCAGCTTGTTCTCTTACAGACAAAAATAACTATACAATCAAAGCTGAATAACGGAGTATTTTAAGATACTCTACCTGGTGTTGTTTGTAGGTAAAGACAAAAAAACACACAACCATCCAAGATTTTGCTCTTTCCACTTACAAAGAATAAATGGGTAAAGCAAAACAGACCACCAACTAATAAAAATACCACAATTAATGAAGATTAAACTTTTACAAAATAGCATCCATAAGGGTACCGTTGTTAAACTCTGAAAAAAATATTACCTAATCAAAAAGGAAATTTATCTTTGAATCTTTAATAATTGATGAGATAAAAGTCTAAACTTGGGGTGGATCTAGGGGAAAAAATATATATATATATTTTTTTTAATTTAAATCCAATTAGCCAGTACATCATTGGTTTTTGACAGAATGTTTATGGGGAAAAAAAATCTAAGATCTAGTTCTTTTGGGTACAAGTGGGCATAGTACCTCATAACTGCCTTCTATTTTGGATCTACCTAGATGTTCCAAAGTTCTCTTGACACAGCAAATTAACAAAGGGACCTGGGCTGCTTTTCCACAGGACTCAGGACCTGCCTCACTAAACAAGACTCCAATATGTTTGAGGGTCTAAGGCTCCACATATTACACCTGAAAACCGACAACTATGGAGGAGAGCTGGGCTGGGGTATAGATCAAAACATTTATGTAGAAATAAAGAAACCGGGGCGCCTGGGTGGCTCAGTTGGTTAAGCGACTGCCTTCAGCTCAGGTCATGATCCTGGAGTCCCGTGATCGAGTCCCGCATCGGGCTCCCTGCTCGGCAGGGAGTCTGCTTCTCCCTCTGACCCTCCCCCATCTCATGTGCTCTCTCTCTCTCTGTCATTCTCTCTCTCAAGTAAATAAATAAAATCTTTAAAAAAAAAAAAAAAAGAAATAAAGAAACCCCAGAAGAAAAGATAATAAAATAGGCATCCTAGGGGAGGGAGCAAAAAAAAACATCTGACCTATCCAAGGAGGTTAAGAGAAAGGCATGAACATTTGTAGGGTGGAAAGGAGATAAAAACCTATTTCTGCAAAAAACAGAGCAACAAAACCTATCCATTAGGGAAATCAGGTCCCATTGCCCATTTACTTGTGCATGCTGTGCACGCACACAAACACACGAAGAGGAACAAAACAGGGTGGCTAGACTGTAGTCACATGCTGTGTTAAACTGAACAAGGGTCACTGACTCAGATGAGAAAATTCAGTATCTTGTGTTCCTTGTTAAAATTTTGTATATACTGGGGTGCCTGGGTGGCTCAGTGGATAAGTGTCTGTCTTGGCTCAGGTCATGATCCCAGGGTCCTGCTCAGCGGGGAGCCTACTTCTCTCTCTGCTCTGCCCCTCCCCCGTGCTTGTGCGCGCTCACTCTCTCTCAGAAAAAATAAATAAAATCTTTAAAAAAGAATTTTTGTATATACTTACTTGGTTTCCAACAGTTGTGTATTTTCTAATATAAGATTCTCAACTTCACGACCCATTCCTACCAAAATAAATAAATAAATAAATAAAACCTTTCAAAAAATTTATCAAAAACTATATAAACTTGTATTATAATAGACTCAAATTTTAATTTATAGATTTTATCTGTCCTTTAGTAACCTTAGTCTATAATTTCATTTGATATATCTACTTGTATAGGTTATAAAATTATAAATAATTATCCATCACAAAACAAAGCTAAAGATTTTGTTAGCCAATTCTTTGTTAGTCTATATTTTGTTTCTCATAGATAATTATTTCAATACAATCCCAAGACTTTTCTGCCAAATATTCTAAAAAATAGCAGTAAAATATTTAGAGGAAAAAAGAGTAAGCATTAGTACAGATCAGAAATCATTTCCAAATCACAGCTGGTATTGTAGGCTTTTGCCTAAAAATTAGGTCTTACTAAGAAAGAACAGGCAGAAACAAGGCCAAAGAAAGACGGAATCCCAATGCAGATGAAACCTTACCAAAGAAATTATGGTCTTAAAGCCCATGCATTCCATGTAAAGCAAAAACAAAGAACAAGAAATGTTTTATGTAAGAAACAGCATGAAAATAGATTATTAAACTGTAAAGTTTTATGCATGATATGAAATACACCTGGGATCAGTGTTATGATTTAATGCATAATGATGTGCAAAAGACAGAAATTAAGATGATTTCCTCCATTCATAAGGATGCTCTTTGATACGTAATACCTAAAAAAAAAATGCTTTACCAATTCTTTTGCACAATGAAACTGAATAATTAGACTGAAAATCCCACATCAATAATATAAAGTTTCCCTCAAAGTGCCACCTCTGAAATGATAATGTTCAGTTATTACTTTACAGAATCCTGTTTAATAATTTAATGAGGACTGTAAGGCAGACAGAGCATTCAATGCAAGATCCAATGCAATGATCTTTAGGGAGAAGAAAGTTCTTTAATTTGCTACTTAAAAGAAACTGAAGAAATAAAACCACACACTAGGGAATGTATCTCAAAAAGTTACAAAAACAAAAAGGCAAAACAAAGCAAAGCCAAAGACCCACCATTCACTTATCCTAAGCTAATGTTGGATAACTACATACAACGGAATAAGTCATATTCATATAACCCAGCTATACAGGAAGGAAATCCTAAGAAAACTACATAAGGAAAAGGAGTTAACATGTCCCTTTTTTAAAAGTTAGTTATTTCAAATGACTTAAAGATAATTTAAAACAAAACCAACCTAGGAATGCTAAAAATCACTGCTCACATATGTACTCATATTTTGTCTGTATTATAATTATCTCAAATATTCTCAAAGATCAGGGTACTACTACCATGAAGAATTAAATATCACACATAGTAGCTTATTCAATCATCTATGTATTCTCCAAAAGGTAAAAATAAAGACAAACTAAAAAGGTTTCCAAATTCCAATTCCAAAATGAATTTTGGCAAGATATGCTGAAATATTTGCTTTTGACTAATGTTAACTTTCAATAAAGCTATATAATCAGAAGAAATAGGTTTAGATTGGTTGAAAAAAGCTTATGTAATGACTATGTTTGCTATAAACTCTCAAGCATGTAGGGAGATAAGCATAAAAGCTGAAAATATATGGAAGGCAAAAAAAAAAAAATAGTTGAGCAGAAAAAAATGATGAGAAAGCATTACATGAGAAGAGCAGCCAGGAACACCTTGCTTAAGAAGCAGTAATATTAAAGTATTTAAAAGCATACACACCAGAATATTCCCCTGGGTAAGCCGCCCAAGAGAAAAATGAATGAGAATCACAATTAGATTGTTTTCAGAAAGCAAGAAATATGCTCATTTGTTTCAATGAGAGGAAACAATAAAATTTAGAAGATGTAGAGAAACAAACACAATAAAGTGTAAATATTATAAATAAGAAAAAATTTTGAAATATGTACTCCTTGGGAATCATATCTGATAATGTAGTTTCTAAAGTTTACACGTTCTCAGTGAAGAGTTCTCTCAAAATCTTGTTTATAAAGTCAATATATGGTCAATAGGATTATCCAAAATTTTCATTTTGAAATGTATTGATAAAAATTAACTCATTACTATAAGAAAAACATAACTTAGGTCTAACATATTTGAAAACTTTACCTATTAAAACAAGCAAAAAACTGCCTGGCAGATTAGCAACAACCCTCAAGCTAGGTCCATAGTTGGGCCTCCAAAGTATCTGTTAATCCCTTGAGAAAGTATGCACGATTTTGTCTACCTATACATGCATTTTTACAAAAGCACACTGCTTTCTTACAAATTCTCCCATAAAGGAGTTTTAATCCTAAAAGGTGAAGAATCATAGAATCAGAGGTGAAATAAAGCCATTAGAACTACTTAGCAATCCATATTCACTTAATCGCTGTGCTATGGTGCTAAAGACTCAATAGTGAGCAACGGACAAAGTTGTCTTGGCCACATTGAGCTTAGAGCCTACCCAGAGAGATGAGTACATACAACATTACAGTAAAGTATACAGAGTGGCATAATAAAGAAAATGAGTGCCATGAGAATACATTTCAGGGACAATTAAGCTTTAACTAGGGGATCAAGGCAGAATTCCAATAGGAGGATATGCCATTTAAGCAGAGGCATGGGGAAAAAAAAGTTATACAGATTTTTTTTTTTTAAAGAAAAGGAGTAAACAAACCTTGGTGATTGGTTCCAAGAGAAGAGGGAGAGATTTTGAATGGAAAACTGAGTGGATGGTGAGGCATTCACTGACTGAGACAGTACGTGCTGGACTAAGAACAGCCCTGAACAGGACAATGAACATGATGAACTGAGCTTTAGGCACATCAAGTGTAAAGCCCTACAAATCACTTTAGAGGTGTCTCGTGGGCTGTTCTGAAGTAACAGTCTGGGGCTCTAGAAAAAGATGTTGGAAGGAGATAAAAATTGTGGAGCAATTTTCCATGAAAGCCAAGAAACAAAAGCAAATAAGATTTCCCAAACAAAGAAGCAGGCCTGGGACACTGATATCCTGAAAGATGGGCAGAGGAAGAGGATCCTGCAAAGAAGACTGAAAAAGAATATAGTCAGAGGCAGGAAAGTCTGTTATCACAGAAATCCAGGAAAGAAGGTGTTAAAGACAAATGTTATCTGAGAAGTCCTGTGAAAGGATGTAGAAGGAACCGCTGGATATAGCAAACAAGAAGGCTGTTTCACGTCAGGTGAGTGTGGGGAAGAATGCCGATACAGACTACAGGGGGATGAGATCCAAGTGGGAAAGGGGAAATCCTGCCACTTAAAAGCAGCTACACTTTCAAGAAGGCTGCTTTGTTCACTCATGTATCACAAGCATCTAGAATAATGTCAAACACATAACAGATACCTCTTCAATATTGCTGCATAAAAGTAGGACCAGATATGGAAGCAAAAGGAGTGATAGGGTACAAAGGTACTAAAGATAAGAGTGGCAGAGGAGGGCCAGGCCATACGTTCGTTTTTAAATGGAAGAGATCTGAACATGTTTAAATGATAATAGAAGAAGTAAAGATAGTGAAGTTGAAAATATAGAAGGATAATCAAGAGAAAAAAAATCCCAAGAGTAGGATATATGATTTCCAAGTTCTAGAGTGTGGCTGTGGGGAGTACATGACTGAAATGAATGGAAAAAGGATCAGACAGGGCGCCTGGGTGGCTCAGTCATTAAGCGTCTGCCTTCAGCTCAGGTCATGGTCCCAGGGTCCTGGGATCGAGCCCCGTATCGGGCTCCTTGCTTGGCAGGAAGCCTGCTTCTCCCTCTCCCACTCCCCCTGCTTGCGTTCCTCCTCTTGCTGTATCTCTGTCAAATAAATAAATAAAATCTTTAAAAAAAAAAAAAAAAGGATCAGACAAAGATAAGAAAGTCAAGAGACAAGGGCAATTGGGGGATGGGGAGGGGTTTACCTCTTTTAAATTATTAAAATCAGAAAAAAATAATCTAAATGTGGAGTATATGCATAATGATTGCAAAAATTTATATCCTCGAGAAAGAGAAGAGTTTTACAATAATACAGTGATGGAGAAAATGAATGGAGTTACAGGAATGGACTATGTACTTATTTATTAACCTGAGATCAATTAAAGAACTCTGGATAACAATTTTGTTAGTTTCACTATATTCCATTTAGTATTACACCTCAACTGCTATCACAAAATTGTATAGAAGAGAAGCCAGGGAACAAATATGTGCCTTGGAAATTTCATTTACCATCTTTGACCAAAAGGGATTCATGCAGATTTAAGTCACTACAGACTTAAGGTAATACAGTAAAAACTTCTAATCTGGAACATTTTAGAGATAAATATATCAATATCTGCAAAAGGGAAAAGACACCAGTTTACAGTCTATTTCTTATTTTCAAAGTAGAAAGAAAACCAGAGTATCAGAATTTTGCTTTTAACCTATTCATTATGCTTAATCTTCTGACTCAAAGAATGGAAGCTTTCAGGAAACACAAGATTTTAAAAGACCACAATTAATTCTAAGTACTTTGTGGCTCCTTAACTCTTTACAAAAAAAGGAAAGTTTGGGACCACCAACCTCAAAAATTGTATTATTCAATACTGGATTATGAAGTAGCAGAGTATACAAACTGCATTAAAAAGTACTTCATTCTAGTTAAACACAAAGGAGCAGCATGAAGGAATTTTGGGGGGTGTAAACTGATTCTGGTAGTGATTATACAACTCCATGCTTTTGTCAAAGGTTAAAAAATTCATCAAAAAGAGTGATTTTTTACTGTATATAAATTTGAATATAAATTTAAACACTTAAAAATTCTTCTTTCTAACATTTTTTGCATCTCTACACTTTAATTTTGCCAGGGACTCAGTTTTGTAAAAGGAACTTTTCATTCATAATTTAATGTTAACTAAAGTTAAAGTGTAAATTTAAAAATGGGGTGTTCCTGGGCGCCTGGGTGGCTCAGTTGGTTAAGCGACTGCCTTCGGCTCAGGTCATGATCCTGGAGTCCCAGGATCGAGTCCCGCATCGGGCTCCCTGCTCAGCAGGGTGCCTGCTTCTCCCTCTGACCCTCCCCCCTCTCATGTGCTCTCTCTCTCTCATTCTCTCTGTCTCAAATAAATAAATAAAATCTTTAAAAAAAAAAAAATGGGGTGTTCCTTAAGAACTCATCTTTAGCCCTCCTTGAGAAATACAAACTCATTCAACTGCTTCTAATACTTAACTTACACTCTAATGGTGGGGGTCTATGTCTATCTCAGAAAGTTTTTATTTATAACAAACTTGCAATCTCTCTTACTAGATAGACTGTGAGCTCCATACAGAAAGAACTTATGTTTCCTTCAAAAAATACTTCAAACTTTCGAGGACATAATGGTAATCAATAAATTTAACACAAATTAATGCAAGGAATCCCACTCCATATTCACAAAAATTGACCAAAAGAACCTTTTGAGGACACTGTAGTCTGTATTATAATTACACCAAAAGCTACATAATAGATACATAAATTTCTTCAAGACCAGCATCTATTCCAAAGGCATGGGTTTTTAATACTATACGGCTTTCAATCTCTGTAAGATCTTAAGTTGTAAGAAAGGTATGCCACAGCTAACTGACGTAAAGTCAGAACCATGTAATTATTGTTCAAGGAGACTTGAGAGATCACCTAGAGCTGGAGTCGATACATTCTTTCTGTAAAGGGTCAGACGGTAAATTTTAAGTCTTTGTAAAGCCATATGATCTCTGTTATAGACTACTTAACTCTGCAGTTGTGTGCAAAAGCAACAACAGACAGTAAGTAAACAAATGAGAGTAGCTGTGTTCCAATAAAGCTTTATTCATACACATAGATGAGCTGGATCTGGACCCATGAGCCACAGTTTGCTCAATCCCTGAACTCGAATCCGGCTCCTTCATTTTATACACAAAGAAACTAAGGCCAGGAGAGGTTAAGCTATTTGGCAAAGGACACCAGATAAATAATGGAAAAAGCCAAATGCAGTATTCTTTTCAAACCAGGTGTTCTTCAACAACACAAACTCTAAAATGGTTACATTTCTCATAGAGCTAAAACAGAATATTCTGTGAAATCTCAGGAAAAAACAAGTGTTATATTTTCTTATTTAATTAAGGTCAACAGAATTTTAAAAAATCTATCTAAAGCCAAGAACTAACTACCTATCAATCTATACATCTACCCATCCCCCCCCCCACACCCATATATATACACAGCGCTCCTTATGTGTAATACTGTTCTTGGCACGTGTTCAATAAAATGTGCTGTATGAATTTCAAAATACAAATTAAAGTGCAATTCAATTTGAGGGACATCCATATACAAAGATGCTTTGATTTAAAACTTTCGTGATCTCAAAGAATATATTCCTATTAATTACCTGAAAGTGTAATAACTGTGTGCTACTGATCAGTTAGGGACATTTTAAAGGCATTTTCAATTAAATCATTTTAAAAAAATCTATTTTTAAAACAGTATGATACTTCTTCTTCAGATAAGCTATCATACCTAGTAAATCTGCTCCTTCATCCACATCTCCAATTAGGCCTGAGCCAGCTGAAGACAGTTCTTCAAAGAGAGATTCTGTATTACGATCAAAAGCTTTGTTCTCTATGCCTTTGGTGGGAGTGCTATGCAACAGAAACAACACAACCAAATCAACAAATATTACAGACTTTTTCAACAGTGTAAAGTGAATACAATAGGCAAATGATTGTCCACCTGTAATTTACATTTAACACAAAATGTAGTTTTAAAAGGTATCTAAAAGGCTTCCTATGAATTTTCCATTAAACTCCACAGAAAGAACTGTTAAAGAAAATACAGAATGTTTATTTTTTGGTCATATCCCAGGAAACACAAACAATAAATGAAAGCTAACAGAGCACTACTCTGCCTTGTACCAGGCACTGTATAAGCACTTTACCTAGACTACCTTACTGAATCTTCACACCTACTCTACAAAGGAGGTGCTATTATCCCAATTTCACAGAATAGGAAACTAAAGAGATTAAGGAATTTGCCAAGATCATCCAGCAAATGAGAGAAAGAGGCAAGATTCAAACCCAGTCAGTCAGGCTTCAGAATCCACGTCATAAAACTGTGTTTTATGTTGCCTGGATATAAACTGGCATGGACATTTTATTTTTCTTTTAAGGGCAATTATATTATCTGTTAAAATTCAGAACACAAACACCCTCTGATCCAAGAATTCAATGCGAAAAAAAATCCTACAAAAATCCTGTCATAAGAACGAAATTACGAATGTAAAAGGCTGGTCAGAGCGGCATTCTTACAGTAGCTAAAAGTTGCAATGACCTAACTGATCATTAATAGGTCGGAGAGAAGTTATGGATACACATTAAGAAGTTAAAGATTTTGGGGGCACCCGGGTGGCTCAGTCGTTAAGCGTCTGCCTTTGGCTCAGGTCATGATCCCAGGGTCCTGGGATCAAGCCCTGAATCAGGCTCCCTGCTCCACGGGAAGCCTGCTTCTCCCTCTCCTTGTCCTCCCTCTCTCTCTGTCTCTCTCTCTCTGTCAAATAAATGAATAAAATCTTAAAAAAAGAAAATAAGAAGTTAAAGATTTTTAACTTCATAGTTAAAAACTAAAGAAATCCATTATATAAAGGTGTTTTTTAAAAAGCAAGGGGATGCCTGGGTGGCTCCAGTGGGTTAAGCGTCTGCCTTCAGCTCGGGTCATGGTCCCAGGGTCCTGGGATCAAGTCCCACGTCGGACTCCTTGCTCAGCAGGGAGCCTGCTTTTCCCTCTGCCCGCTTCGCCCCCTGCTTGTGCATTCATTCTCTCTCTCTCTCACAAATAAACAAAATCTTTAAAAAAATAAATAAGTAATAAATAAAAAGCAAGTACAGAACAGTGTATTTAAGGCCTTTATAGCATGGGATATGCAAAGAAATGGGGAAACGTGTATGTTTGTGCTCTAATGTTACAGTAATAGAAAAAAGTTGGGGTTCCTGGGTGGCGCAGTTAGTTAAGTATCTGACTCTTGGTTTCGACTCAGGTCATCTCAAGGTCATAGGATGGAGCCCCATGCTGGGCTCTGTGCTCAGCATGGAGTCTGCTTAGGATTCTCTCTCCCTCTACCCCTGCACCCCCTGCTCTAAAATAAATAAATAAATCTTAAAAAAAAAAAACCGTCTGCACAGGATTTCCAGTTAAAACTTGGTGGAATAAACATAGTCATTTACCACTCAATAGGACATAGGGACTAGAAAAAGAAACTGCAGCAGATGAAATGTGAACAAAATTCTGTAAGACAAAAAACAGGCAAACAGCTGAAACTGACTTGACAGACCAGAAAAAGCTGAAACCTAACCACTAGGGTTTAGAGAGGAACTCTGTATGCTACCAGAACCTCTGAAAGGCCCAGGCATTGAAGGAACCAGCAATCTACAGAAAGATGCGTGCAAGGGAGAACGTAAAACAGAAGGCTGGGGGCACCTGGATGGCTCAGCTGGTTAAGTGATTGCCTTCGGCTCAGGTCATGATCCTGGAGTACCAGGATGGAGTCCCGCATAGGGCTCCCTGCTCCGCAGGGAGTCTGCTTCTCCCTCTGACCCTCCCCCCTCTCATATGCTCTCTCTCTCATTCTCTCTCTCAAATAAAATAAATAAAATCTTTAAAAACAAACAAACAAACAAACAAACCAAAAAAACCCCAGAAGGCTGGGATGAAAGACATGCCAAGAAGCAGTATGAGTGAGATCCAATCCTCCAGAACAGAGACCTCCCTCCCCACAGCATTGCTCCCTAAACAATGGAAGCCATGTTTATATGTTAAAAGCAGGAAACCAGAGAATCAGCAACAATTACTTAAGTACCAGCAAAAGCAAAATAGCCACGGAGCACCAGACCTTTAAAGAAGGCCTTTATTATAAAATAAAGAGTCCAAAAACAAATGGACTAAGACAGAGGCACTCAGAGCAAAAGGAAACAACGCAAGCAACAGAAAAAAAAATAAATAAAACAACTGATTTTTTTTCAGACTAAACACTGCATCCATAAAAGAATAGCAGAATGTTATAAAAAGTAACCTTAAAAACTTTTAGAGGGAAAAAAAATCAATGAGGGTTGAAAAATAAAGTTGAAGAAATCATCCTAAAATTAGGACAAAAAATAGAAGGGGGTTGGTAGAATGATGAGGTTAGTCCAGGATGTTCAATATCTACCTAACAGATATTCCAGAAAGAGAGGAAGAGACAACAGTAAAGAGAAACAACAAACTTTCTCACAGGAGATACAGGGGCGCCTGGGTGGCTCAGTCATTAAGCGTCTGCCTTCAGCTCGGGTCATGATCCCAGAGTCCTGGGATCAAGCCCCGCATCGGGCTCCCCACTCCGTGGGAAGCCTGCTTCTCCCTCTCTTACTCCCCCTGCTTGTGTTCCCTCTCTCGCTGTGTCTCTCTGTCAAATAAATAAAATCTTTAAAAAAAAAACAACTGGGAGATACAAATTTCCAGATGAAAGAACTTACCACATACAAGATACAAAAGAAGACCCCTATATCAAGCATACGATCAATTAATTTTTATTTTTTTTTAAAGATTTTTTATTTATTTATCTGAGAGAGAGAATGGGAGACAGCATGAGAGGGGGAGGATCAGAGGGAGAAGCAGACTCCCCGCTGAGCAGGGAGTCCGATGCGGGACTCGATCTCGGGACTCCAGGATCATGACCTGAGCCGAAGGCAGTTGCTTAACCAACTGAGCCACCCAGGCACCCCGATCAATTAATTTTGAAAGGGAAGGGGGCACATGAGGGATAAAGTGAAGATCCTAAAAGCTTCCACAGAAAATAAACAAAAAAGCAAGAACCCAAAAGACAATTCTCCAAACTCAACATGATAATGAAGTAATGCCTTCACAATTCTGAAGGAACCTTCTGATGATTTTCCAACCTAGAATTCAGTCAGCCAAACTATCAATGTCTTCAAATGACATGTGTCATATTCAAGTTCTCCAAAAATTTACTTTCCATGCAGCCTTTGCCCAGAAAGCTAGTGAGAATATGTTCCGTCAAGGGGCACCTGGGTGGCTCAGTCGGTTGTGTGTCCAACTCCTGATTTTGGCTCAGGTCATGATGTCCGGGTTGTGAGATCAAGCCACATTATCAGGCTCTATGCTGGGCATAGAGTCTGCTTGAGATTATCTCTCTCCCTCTCTCTCTGCCCCTCCCCCCACTTGCCTGCACTTGCTCGCACGCGCTCTCTCTCAAATAAATCTTAAAAGGAAAAAAGAAGAATGTGTTCTGTCAAAACAAAGGCATAAATCAAGAAGCAAAGGGTGCCTGAGTGGCGCAGTGTTAAGCTTCTGATCTTGGTTTTGGCTCAGGTCATGATTTCACGGTCATGAGATCAAGCCCCACATTGGGCTCTTGCTCAGCACGGAGTCTGAGATTCCCCTTCCCTCTCTCTCTGTCCCTCCCACTTGTGCTCTCTCTCTCTCTAAAATAAAGAAATAAATCTTAAAAAAAGAAGCACTAGCAGCAAGATGACCAGGGATCCAGGAAACAGAAGATACAACAGAGGACAGAAGTGACGAGAATTCCCGACGTGATAGTGAGGGCAAATGCCAGGACCAGAGCCCACAACAACCTAGGCTGGAGAATGCAAACAGAAGACCCCAGGAGAGAGAGGACCAGGAAACTTGCTTTATATGTGGCCATTTTGAGAGTGTTTACATTTATGATTTGCAAGGTATCTGTCCATGAACTAGCAATAGGTTATGTAGAAACCTAAGCAAACAAAACAAAACAAAAATCCACCAGGTTTTACTAATTCCAGAAAACAAAGTTGCAAAAGACAGGAAATAAAATCACAGCATACTCTGTGGCTAAGCTGTGATCAGTATTTATATAGTCATAAGATTTAAACAATGAATGTTAATGTAACAAGAACTGAGAATTACACTGAGATGATGAAAGGAAGGATGGTGGTTTAAGGAGCTGTATCCTTGTCATCCTCCACTATAAAGTCAACAGCTAGTATCACAGCATTTCTAAAACCAGGGTTCCTCATTTGATCCACAGAATACAGAAAATGATTTGAGTGACTATTTTCTCAATTCTAGATGCACAGGAGTGTAGCTAATTCATTATACACAAAGGATGCCTTGGGGCATTAGGACTTCATTTTCTCACAGAATCCCAACAAGGAAAAGAAGCATAAGGATGGGATTTAGATACCTGAAGAAAAATAGCAAAAGAGAACTCAGATGTGGCGGCTGCCACCACCACCACATCCACAGTCACGCCACAGCACGAGTCTCTGTGGACGTGACTCGTGAAGGCCGCTCTAACGCAGTCAGTCAGGCGCTCAACAAGCAGGCAGGAGCCGACTTTGACACTGACCTGCCCAGCAAGGTTTGCGTCAACTCCGAGTACATCGTGGACACTCTGCTGGAGACCCTGGGGAACACAGCGAAGGCTGTTTCCTACCTCAGCCCCAAGGAGCCAGGGCCTGGACCCCTGGGCCCAAGATGGACCAAAGGGGGCAGCACGCTGATCCTCTCCTGCTTTCCAGACAGACCTGGGGCCTGGCAGTCCTGATCAGCAATGGGAGTTCCTGCAGAGACCCTTATATAGCCTGCTGGCCCTCCCCAGCTTTCCTACAATAAAGTTGAGCCACTTTTGTTGAGAAAAAAAAAAAAAAAAGAATGAGGAAGCGAGAGATACTGCCTCTTGAGAGTGGGAATGAGGGGTGGGTAAGGGCAAGGGACTACTACTGCCCTTCATATTTTGTATTATTACCATTTGACCAATATTACACATGCATTAGTCTAATAAAAATTTTTTTTTTAATTTTTAAAGAGGTTCAGAATGACAAACTGAAACTGCTAATAAGTAGCTGCATCTCCTTACTTAGGCTTAGGAGAGGATAAATAAAAAGCAAATTTCACTTTTTACACTCTGCATTACTTTTTTTTTTTTTTTTTTTTTAAGAGAGAATGCATGTGCAAGTGTTGGGACAGGGGGAGAGGGAGAGAGAGAATCCCAAGCAGGCTCCACGCCCAGCGTGGAGACGAGTCCAGGGCTCGATCTCAGGACCCTGAGATCATGAAGTCAAAAGTCAGACACTTAACTGACTGTGCCACCCAGGTGCCCCTGCATTGTTTACATTTTTAAATAAACAATAAAAAAAAAATATTTTCACAGAACATGGCCTTTGAAATCAGAGACTCCTAGATTAAATGCCAGCTCCACGCGCTAACTAGGTCATCCTGGACAAGTTACTACACATTTCTGAGCTTCCTTCTCTGTAAAATGGGGATGAAGATGCAGACTTCATAGAGTTAAAATTATATTAAATGATGATGATAATACTACCTAACATTTATTAAATTGGGCCCTTTGCCAATGATTTAACATACACTGAATCATTTACTCATAATCATCTAAGGTATTATCATAATTCCTTTTTATGGAGAAAATATACTTCAGATTCAAATCCAAGGCAGTATTTGAACCCACATAGTCTTACTCTAGGTTCATGCTTTTAACCACGACTGTAGTGATCAATAAATAGAGTGTATTTCTATGGTCATTATTATTAAAGGATAAATGTTACGGAAGAAATTACAAGAAAGGCAGTAGCTCCTTTATGAAATTCCTGAACATCCACATGCTTTAGATTACCTTGATTAAGATGATACATAACAATTCTCTTTCCACCACTAAACAGCCTCCCCATGTAAAATGAGACTAATCTCTTCCAATAATGGGATCATTACAGTTTGGGGTTTTCTTTGAGTAGGCTCCACACCCAATATGGGGCTTGAACTTAACAACCCTGAGATCAAGAGTCGTCTGGTCTACTGACTGAGCCAGCTAGGCATCCTGAAATTGCTACAGTTTTGAAGTGAGTATATATGTTTCTTCCTGATCTGAGGGAAGGAACAAAGTTTGCTCAAATTGTTACATCCCCTATTCTTGTTTCTGTTTCCTCAAATTGCAGAAAGTATTGGTTACACCTCCGCTGCCTTTTCCCCCTATCCTTCCATATACTCCTAATCCCTGATGGTGAAAAGGCAGCATTTCACAAAACATTTCTACCATATACTATGTCTAGTTTCAAAAATGGAAACTAGAATATAATACTAACATTTCTTCAGCAAAACACTTGAATGACCTTTTTCCTGGCAAGAGACCAGAGAATAATAGTATGCTTCTGGGACAAGGGAAAGGAAGGATAAAATGTCTTCATTTGACATTGACAGTACCTTGAGCCTTTATATCCACTCAGATCTTTGTCCATATCCAACTCAGGAGTGGATTCAATGATCGCTTGAACTTCTGACTTCTCTTCATTTTCAGCAGAGCCTTATAGGAAAAGGACAAGATGACATAAATTATGCATATATCACATACTGCCCCTAATATGAAAATCCTGTTGCTTCAATGGTTGTAAATACATCATTTGATCATAAAAAATTTTAAGAAGTGAATTCTAGGAAACACAGGGTTAGACAATGTATCAATCAACAGTGAATATCAGAAATTGATAAATAACCAAAGTTTTTATTTGTATTTCTTGAGACACAGTCTGTTGTATCCCAGGGTAGAACTCCCTGTTTGTTTGTTTTTTATAAATTAAGAGGTTGGGGTGCCTGGGTGGCTCAGTCGTTAAGTGTCTGCCTTCGGCTCAGGTCGTGATCCCAGGGTCCTGGGATCGAGCCCCGCATTGGGCTCTCTGCTCGGCGGGAAGCCTGCTTCTCCCTCTCCCACTCCCCCTGCTTGTGTTCCCTCTCTCGCTGTCAAATAAATAAATAAAATCTTTAAAAAAAAAAAAGAAGGGGTGAAATACAGAGAAATTAAAGATGAAGACTATTCTCCTGCCTTTCAGGCTCTTCAATACTACAGCTCCCCAAATCTGTCTCTCCAAAACTTTATTTGATCATCACCCCTTTTAAGCTTACTTATAATTGAGTATGATTTTATAAATCTAAAACCCTAAGATGTATCTTTTCTTTTAAGATTTTATTTATTTATTTGACAGAGAGAGACACAGCAAGAGAGGGAACACAAGCAGGGTGAGTGGGAGAGGAAGAAGCAGGCCTCCCACGGAGCAGGGAGCCCGATGTGGGGCTCGATCCCAGGACCCTGGGATCATGACCTGAGCCGAAGGCAAACGCTTAATGACTGAGCCACCCAGGCGCCCCAAGATGTATCTTTTCAAACCCACATGATCTTTACCAGAAAGTAAAGAACTAGGGCCACTTACCTGTTGATACATTTCTAGTTTCTTGGGCTACCTGTACTTCAATATGCTTGCTTATCTCTGATTTATTTGGTGTATCTGCAACCTTCACAAATCCTTCATTATCTTCCTTTAAGGGAGTATCAGTAGGAAGTGTGGCCACATCTGATGCAGCTGTTGATGCTGGAGTAGTAGCTTTAGATCCTCCTTGGCTAACATCAGAAAGTTCATCCTACAAATAAAAAGAATTATTGCGGGGGGTGCGCTTGGTTGGCTTAGTTGGTTAAGTGTCCAACTCTTGATCTCAGCTCAGGTCTTGATCTCAGGGTTGTGAGTTCAAGCCCTATGTTGGGCTCTACCCTGGGCATAGAGCTTACTTTAAAAAAGAAAAAAAGGAATTACGGGAAAATCTTTAAATGATTAATTTATTTTAAGCAATTTTCTTAAACGGGTAAAGAAAAAAACATGCAGAGAGAAAATTCTATTAAAAAACAGTAATAGAGGGGCGCCTGGGTGGCTCAGTCGTTAAGCGTCTGCCTTCGGCTCAGGTCATGATCCCAGGGTCCTGGGATCGAGCCCCACATTGGGCTCCCTGCTCTGCGGGAAGCCTGCTTCTCCCTCTTCTCCCCGCTCGTGCTCTCTCTTGCTATCTCTGTCTCTCTCTCTCAAATAAATAAAATCTTAAAAAAAAAACAGTAATAGAGGCACCTGGGTGGCTCAGTTAGTTTAGCATCTGCCTTTAGCTCTGGTCATGATCTCAGGGTCTTTGGATAGAGCCCCAAGTTGGGCTCCCTGCTCAGCGGGGAATCTGCTTCTCCCTATCCCTCTGCCCCCCACTCATGCCCACGCTCACTCTCTTTCTCTCAAATAAATACAATCTTAAAAAACAAAAACAAAAAATACAGCAGTGGAATAACAAGATTCTGAATCTCAGGAGAGATTCAGAGTATTGTACACAGTATGCTTAAAACTTCCTGCATCCAGATCATCTGAAATACTGTTAAAAGGGCAGATTCTAAGTCCAACTCCAAGCTTCAGGCAGTGAGATCAAGTAATATGCATTTTAAAAAGCAACCCAGGTGATTTATATACTCACTAAGAATTGATAATTACTATTCTAGGGTCCACAAATAGTCTTCATGAAGGACATGTCCAGATTGAATTTTATGCAAAAATTTGCGTGGCATGTACTTTTCTGGGGAAAAAGAAATCTACAACTTTTATCAGGTTTTCAAAGGGGTTTGTGGCCCGCAAATAACTAAAATCAGTTGTCCAAAAGTTGAAACCCTACGCGGCACACCTGAAACTAATGTAACATTGTGTGTCCATTATACTTCAACTAAAAATAAACGGAGGGGGAGGGGATTTAAAAAAAAAATAATCCCCCCTCAAAAAAAAGAGAGGGGCACCTGGTGGGCTCAGTTGGTGGAGCATGTGACCCGATCTCAGGGTCATAAGTTCAAGCCCCATGTTCGGCATGGAGCCTACTTAAAAAGAAAAACAAACATAGTTAGTTGTTCAATGGCTACCAATAATGAGGTAGTTCTTTTAGAGCAAAGTACCCAGGTCTTCAAAAAAAAAAAGAACCTAGGGCAACTGGGTGGCTCAGTAGGTTAAGTGTCCAACTCTTGGTTTTGGCTCAGGTCATGATCTCATGTTTGTAAGATCAAGCTATGTTGAGCTCTGTGCTAAAAGCTGAGTCTGGGATTCTCTCTCCCGCTCCCTCTGCTCCTCCTCTCCCTAAAATAAAGTCTTAAAAAAAAAAAAAAAGAGAGAGAGAGAACCTGACAAAAAGTTTACCAGTAGTAGGAGGAAGAAGAAGAAGAATTAGGGTAAATTAGTGAGTTTATCATTCACTAAATGTTTGACCTTGGGTAAGTTATTCTTTCTATATCTATTTTTCATTTGTAAAATAGAGATAATGGTACCTAATTAATAGATTACAAATTATTCTACATAAAGACTTAGCCAAGTGTTCACACATACTAAGTGTTTAAAATGTTAGCAATTGGGGCGCCTGGGTGGCTCAGTCGGTTAAGTGTCAGCCTTCAGCTCAGGTCATGATCCCAGGGTCCTGGGATTAAACCTCGAGTACAGCTCCCTGCTCAGTAGGGATCCTGCTTCTCCCTCTCCCTCTGCTACTCCCCCTGCTTATGATCTCTCACTCTCTCTGTCAGATAAATAAAATCTTTAAAAAATTAAAAAATAAAAACAAAAATAATAATTTGAGGTCCTTTTCTCTTTCTTTCTTTCTTTTTCTTTAAAGTAAACCCTATGCTGGGTGCCTGGGTGGCTCAGATGGCTAAGCGTCTGCCTTCGGCTCAGGTCATGATCTCAGGGTCCTGGGATCGAGTCCCGCATCGGGTTCCCTGCTCAGTGCAGAGCCTGCTTCTCCCTCTCCCTCTGCCACTCCCTCTGTTTGTGCTCTTCTATCTCTCTGTCAAGTAAATAAATAAAATCTTTAAAAAAATAAAAAATAAAAAAAATAAAGTAAGCCCTATACCAAACGTAAGGCTTGAACTCATGACCCTGAGATCAAGTTACATGCTCCACTGACTGAGCTACCAGGTGTCCCTTGAGGTCAATCTTGTACTTGTCATTTGTCTCTCAAAAGTAGAGAAATGATTTCCTCTTCCTCCTTATCACCCCACCCCCAATGTCTAGTTACTTCTACCTTAAAAAAAAGAGTTAGTGGGGCCCCTGGGTGGCTCAGTCAGTTAAGTGGCCACCTTTGGCTCAGGTCATGATACTGGAGTCCTGGGATCAAGACCCACGCCAGGCTCCCTGCTCAGCGGTGATTCTGCTTCTGCCTCTCCCTTTGCCCCTCCCCCTGCTCCTTCTCTCTCAAATAAATAAATAAATAAAATCTTTTAAAAAATTACTTAGTAATTAAAAAAGAGTTCATAACATAAACAGTTTGGCAAAAGCCCTCCTCCCCAAATTCTTTTGTGGTTCTGGGAGTACCAAATAAAGCAACCAAGAGAGCTGAACCTAAACCATGAAAAGGACTGTGCCATCTTAGGGATTCTCAAGGTTTGGAGCTACAAGGAGTGGTAAATTAGGATCTGCTTAGAAGAAAATTTTAAATTTGTCATGGGCTATCCAAGTAACATGAGATTTATTTATCTGTAACTTACCTTTTATAGTTTTACCACATAAAAATATTTTACACTCACTAAAATAGCTCACTGTGTGGGCTGTACTTCTGGATCTCAGGGAGAGCTGGGGAGAGAAAAGCTCTGAAATTTCAAAAGAGGCATTTCTCGTTGGTCTCCCAGGCAGTGGTGACATAAAGCTCCAAGATTAGTAGGAAAACACAGACATGAGAAAAGTCTCTGCCGCAATGCTTGGTGGGAGGCACAGAATGTTTATATTGCATCTCCTATGGAAGAAATTCTGTAATTCTGTCACTAACAATGCCTCCAAGTAAGATAGAATGAAGAAAGACAAGCCTAAATATTGATCTGTTAAAAGATAAAGTACTCCCCTCACTCATGCTCTCTCTCAAATAAATAATCTTTTAAAAATTTTTAAATAAAAATAAATTAAAAATAAAATAATAGGTGTCATTCAAAAATGTTATACAAACAAGCAACGAGCACAAAAAGATGCTCAACATTACTAATCATCAGAGAAATACAAATAAAAACTACAGTATCACCTCGAACCCCTTAGGATGGCTACTATCAAAAACAAACAAAATAACAAGTGTTGGTAAGATGTGGAGAAATTTGAACCCCTGTACACTGTTGGAGGATTATAAAATGTTGCAACTGCCTTGGAAGACAGAATGGCATTTCCTCAGAAAACTAAAAAAAACTACCATATGATCCAGCAATACCCCTTCTTGGTATATATCCAAAAGAACTGAAAGCAGAATCTTGAAGAGACATTTGCTCCACCCATGTTCATAGCAGCATTATTCACAATAGCCTAAAGGTAGAAGTGAACCAAATGTCCACGAAGGGATGAATGAATATATCAAATGTGGTCTATATATAAAATGGATTATTATTCAGTCTTAAAAAGAAAGTCTGGAGGCGCCTGGGTGGCTCAGTCGTTAAGCGTCTGCCTTCGGCTAAGGTCATGGTCCCAGGGTCCTGGGATCAAGCCCCGCATCGGGCTCCCTGCTCAGCAGGGAGCTGCTGCTTCTCCCTCTCCCTCTGCCTGCCTGCCTGTCTGCCTACTTGTGATCTCTCTCTCTGTCAAAAAAAAAAAAAAAAAAATGATGAAGATGGTAAATTTTAGGGGCGCCTGGGTGACTCAGTCAGTTAAGGGTCTGCCTTCAGCTCAGGTCATGATCTCAGGGTCCTGGGATTGAGCCCCGAGTCAGGTTCCCTGCTTAGCGGGAAGCCTGCTTCTCCCTCTCCTTCTGCCCCTCCCCCTGCTCATGCTCTCTTTCTCTCTCTCAAATAAGTAAAAAAAGAAAAGATGGTAAATTTTATTCTGTATGTACTTACTACACACAAAAAAGAAAATAGGTGCCATTACTTTCAGCTTCACTTGAGATACTATGGTGAAAGCTACCTGGTCTTTGTGCCATTTTCTTACTGTCTCTGGATATCAGGCTAAAAGTCTATAAGCCTTTACAAAATATTTTCAGTTGTTCCATTCATCAAATGCCTCCCTTATGTGCTCAGTCCTACACACAATATTTATGTCATGTGTTAGTCAGTATTGCCCTGTAATTATTTATGTTCTGAGAGACTAAGCTTACAACTATAAAAGAAATTATCTAAGGACAACTTAGAAATGAGGGGTGCCTGGGTGGCTCAGTCGGTTCAGCATCCGACTCTTGGTTTCAGCTCAGGTCATAATCTCTGGGGTTGTGAGATCGAGTCCCACGTCAGGCTCCTTACTCAGCATGGGGTCGGCTTGTCATTCTCTCTCCTCCTCCCTTTGCTCCTCCTCTCGCTCCTGCATGAGAATGCTCTCTCTCAATCAATCAATCAAAATCTTGAAAGACCGAAAGAAAAAAAGAAAGGTTCCAGTGTAGAGTTTTCCTAAGTAGCCTGCCTTCATCTGAAATAGGCTAAATAAAGGGGTAAGCAACTCTGTTACATATGTCTGTCTTTTTGATTCAAAGATTTTAAGCCTAATGAAAGACAAAATTACAAAAATTAGCCCCATGGATCCCCACTATAACATTTATCACCTTATATTTTAATTTTTATGTTTACATTTCTTTCTCCACAAGTTAAAGTTAAACGTCTAAAGCGCTGGTTCTTAAGC